ATTCAAGTTGTCACCGTTCGACTGGTTTGTGAATGTGTGTGTGTGTGTGTGTGTGTGTATGTGGTTCAACCGTATCGATATGTGTATCGCAATAGAGAGTCGAATCGGTTCTGAAATAGTAATTTATTGCCTCTCTAACGTAAATTAATTAGATTTCTTTGTAGCATTTGTCGATAGTGAAATAGATAAACTAATTGGACGTCAAGCATTTGTCAATGGATGTGCAGTTCCGATCGAACTTCATTTTTCTTCAAATAACAGTGTTTTCGTTTGTTTCGATGGCCTGGTCGGTAAAGACGTGAATGGACGTGAATGTTTTAAAGCCTTTTATCGCCCGCTTTAATAGCATTGCCTTTATGCCCTTTTCTTTTTTTATTGTGGCGACCATAACAATGTTGCTCAAATGAATTCACACATACACACACACCACACTCGATCGGCGTAAATGTGTACCAGCAACACAAATCGAGTTGAGCGAAACGTACAAACGACTTTGATTGGCGACAGTAAATCCCCCCGTTTTCTTCTTCTTTATTTAATGGAATTGCGGTGAGACTAATTTGCAGCCATAAAGAAAACTGCACGCAAAAACAATCCAAAGACAATTTACATGGCACATAAATAATTTGCTGTTAGAAGTTCAGCTGAGAGTGATAATCACATTTAGCTGCGCTGTGCACAACACACAGCGAATAAGAGAGAGAGAGAGAAGACATCTCGTTTTTGCAATGACTTTGAAGCCAGTTTTATTGACTTTTTGCACTCTCGCAAACACTGCAACTTGCTAAATAATCTGTGTTTATCTTATTATAATTATGCTAATGGGCTTATACTTTTCACTGCACCGAAGATACAAAGGAATCAAATTTACCGAAAAATATTTTTAGAGTTGCAAAGAGTATTAATAATTTTTTTTTATCGAATCATTTTATCTATAAAAAGATGTATGAATCAGATTTTCTTCCGAAATCGACTGCAAGTCTACGTTATTTTCGTCATATTTAAGTGAATCATTCTGAAAATCTAAGGCCTTGCATTTGTCCTCAAAAACTGAACAGAATTTTAAAAGAGTGTCATAAAACAACATTAAGTAGTAAACAACTTAGAGCTCTAGGGAATATTGAGAGGAAAAAAAACTTCGACATCCTTTTAAAGTGTCATGTCTGCATCAAATCAAGCAAAGATTGATAGTTTTGTAGACTCCGTCCAGGTTTGCATATGCATAAATGCTCTCGGCACAGCGAATTTCCATAGCAATGCCGTTTGTTCATCGGGCTGTATCAGTTAACTGTCAAAATTTGTCTAGCAAAGCAGATATTCAAATTAGCAGAAAATCAAAGGTAATAAAATGCATGCAACCGCAGAATGGTGCTGTTGTCTATGCTATAACAGCAGTAGCTTAGCAGTTTAGCAGTTGACCTAGTTGGAGCGGTGCCGTTGTCATGTATATTCGTGTAACTTGTTGACTGGTAGAAGGTTCTTTCTGAACAAATTAACCAGTTTTAATTTATCCACATTTGAGATCTTTGCCATTTGCAAACACAAACACAAACACAAACACACACACACACACACGAATATCCCAATGCTGAGACGACAAAGACAAATGAACTATTCGATATTTGGGCATAAACGCATTTTTGCAGCACTTTGAATTGACAAACTGTGTTAAGTGCAACGACGAATATGTGAGATACCAATCGGAGCGTACCTGAACATAATGTGAAATATTCAAAACGTGATTTGGCACAAGTACGATGTGGTCGGTTCCAAAATCGGTGCAAAATTCGCATTGTTCGGCATTCACAAGAATTCTCAATATTAAATCATAAAAATCGTACCATAAATTCTTTTTTCTTCTTAAATTTGCACGCATAAATGACGCCGTCAAATGATTTAATTTACGCACACGAAAACCCATTCAATTTCAAATATGGTTTAATTGGTTCTTGCGAACGCAACGAGGCGAGAGCACACAATTTTCCATCCAATTTTTATATGACACATCTAATGAACGGCGAACTATGAAATGTAACAAGTCATATCTAATTTAGACATCGCTGCAGAAAAAAAATATATGTGAAAATTAACAAAATCGAAACATATACATATTTCGTCGTCGTTAGTTTATAGAGAAAAGCGAAAAAAAATAGCGAAACCCATACATTTACACATCAAACACACGTAAACACCGTGTATATTATTTGCAAAATGAAAACGTGTAATAATGAAATTGGCATTGAAATCGACAACTTTGCTAAAATATACACGTCGAACAAATACTCCTATCCAGTGCACAACTACAACAATACACTCGGACGATGAATAGTAATGTAATATGCATACATATTTGATCTACCGTCGGTGTCTGTGCTTGTGTGTGGCAATAGCAAACAGATTAGTATTTATCACGATGGCTCTTGGGTTTTAACTAATAATTTATATGACCAAATCAATGTATTTTGTGTATTTAGTAAGCGTGAAAAGTGTGCATATCGACAGAACACTTCGAAAAATTGGTTATTGATGGCTCAATTTGCGCATTTGGTCAATTTATCAAGCTGCCATGTGTCAATGTGTATTATATTTCATGAATTTTTAGAGTAACGAGGTTTTTTGCTGTCATTTCCTGAGGAGCGAGAGAGAAATGAATATGCATACAAGCGGCTATTTTATCGCAACTACAACCAGAAAATATAGAACATTGCTAGATACAACTAGATAGTGATGAGTGAGATTGCATCATCGGTTGTGATCGTATCCGTACTAAACAAATCGTCATAATCATAATGACTGGCTCGAAAAGGCCAAAATCATCAGCTCAACCATAACCACAACAACAATAACGAACATTTGAATTGCGTAGAATTTTTTTTTCTCGCCCGAGTTGAAGCTAAGAAGCTGTCGTTCAATACGTCCATTTGGCGTTGTTAACATTTTATTTTTCATTTTTTTCCGTTTGGTTTGTTTCGTCCATTTTTTGTTGCAATTTGATATGTGAAAAAAACGAGTGTAAGAACAATTGAGTACAACATTATCACGGATATTGTACAGAGATTGTTGCGATTTTGGCCAGGGCTTTTGGTATGAGCAAACGTTTTCGTTGTTCGAAATGTTACTTACAGGAGACCTCGTCAATATCAAACTACACATATTCGCATCTCTCTTTCTCTTTTGCTCTCTATCTCTCTCTCTCTTTCCCTCTCTCTCTCTCTCTCTCTCTCTCTCTCTCTCTCTCTCTCTCTCTCTCTCTCTAGCCTCTATTCTCAGTAAATGGGCCCATTTAAAACACGGTCTAAACGCTTTACATTTCATTTCTCGCATCCAAATACGGTCATGCTGATAGTGAATTTGTGTGCAAATCGCTCTCCGGCTCGATATACTATGTGCTGTGCGTGTATGTATGCTATTATTATAGACAGTGTGGTGTATAGCGCTTTTGAGTTTTAGACACTCGCTACACTTGTTGTTTGCTTCGGTGTAACATAATGGTATTACGTGTGCAAAACGAAGAATGCCCGATTCTTTGCTGCTGCTGCTGCTGCTGTTGCTGTTACCGCTACCGCAGCGGGTATTAATGTATTGTGTATGTTAACTGATAATAGTCAGAATAAGCGTAAAAGAGAGGGAGTGAGTGATTGCATGCCTTGGCATTGTCTCTGTTGCTCATTCTTGCCAGAAGGATTTTTTTTTAAATAGGTCATGCTCATGCCGAGCTTTTCCACATTCATGTTTGTTGCAAACAATCCGTCTCGTTTCTGGAGATACAAGAGAGCGTGATGTAGGTGTGTTCACGTGTATGTATGTGTGCTCGTGTTTGCGTGCTTTTCATTGAACGCGCGTGCAAAGGAATTTTGAAGAAATATATATATATATTTATTAGCAACCTCTGGTAAGTTTGATAAATTGCCGTTTTTCTCTGCTCGTGGAACATCTTCGTCATTTATTCGGAGCAAAATTTCTGGCAAATGCTTACAAATCCTTCATTATTACAGCTATTTAAATGCTAATAAACAAATTCACGCAGCCAGGCGGCTTGCTGCGAACAACACACCAACCATATCACAATTTTATAATGTGCCGTTTAAACGCCTGGCGTTCAATAATACACAATTCATACGGAACTATACCTTCCTTAATCTGAGACGTAGACACATGGGCCATACAATACAGTTAATAAGTAAACCAACATTCATTAAATACGCTTCATTTTTGAATTACAATTACGCGAAATATAAACAAAAAGAAAACCAACAAATGGAAGCAGAAAAAAGAAGGCAAAATGCGCAAAGAAGTACGAAAAAATGAAACGGCAACACATGGTTTAAAAAAAAAAATGTAAAGAAAAAAATCGATTTGAAATCATGATTGTGCTATTTTAGCAGCGAAAAATAATCTACTAGACGAAATTGTACTAACGATGACTTCGTATTGCACTATTATTTGCTATGGCAACGTTGCCTCAACCGAAGCGATTATATTGATCTCATTTCGTTTGTCGCTATTTTTCTCTCTTGCCGTAAACATTTTCCAATATTTCCCACTTCGCATTTCGTTCGCCAAAGCAATTCAATGGATATAAGATGCGAACGAGATATCGCACAAATGTTAGTTGCAAAACGTGTTATATTATACAAAATTGGCCACATAACGAAAAGAAGAGAAAACAAAAAAAAAGAGTCGTCAACGCTTCTGTGTGTCATCACACAGAAATCGTGTGTGATGGAATTGAATATCAAAGCAATGCGTATTGCTTGCAAATGGACCAATTAGCAAACAATGAACTGAAACAGTTGCATTATCTCTTTCATGCTTTGTGAATTAAATTAGAACACCAATCAAAATCGACTCAATTGAACCGTTAACGAGTGTGTGAACATAGAGCGAAGGAAAAATCAATCAAAAACGCACTTTTGGCATCCATTTGCAATTGGTTGTACGCATTTTGATAGTTTTTACACACAGAGATTAATCGACCAACACCAAATTTGTCTACTTACCAGTTCAATTTGGTTTTGTTGTTGCAGTTAATTGATACAAATACTTTAAGCACTGTCCGAAAAATTCACTTATCTTGTCGCTCCGCAGAATCGACTCGTTCCCTTTAATATGATTCGATTCACTTGAGTCCGTGTGTTTTTTTTTTTCTTCTTTCGTTCGGTTGGTCGGTAATTTCCACGTTCACAATGATCATTAATAAACTAGCTGTTGCTTTTGCACACTTTACTCTACCTTTTCATGTATACATATATACGGAATTTGGCTTTGTTTGTAGTTGTCACCGCTTTCAGTTCGAACAGTAAATTAAATGTAGTTGAAGAATGTTTTTTTTTTATTTTTGCACCCGACCAAAAATAAATATGCTTTTATCGATTTGGCTAAAAATTCGATTCGGTAAATGTCACATCGAGTTCTGTCGTTTTTGATAGAGTAATTTTGCGTCGAGTGTGACACGGTTGTTGTAGTATCGGGAAAATACTAAGATACAATCGACGTACGATGCTCACTACTTATTTGCAATTCAATAATGATGAATAGAAATGTGTTACATTTTCGTTTAGGTTCATGCTGCTGCGGTTGCTGTTGCTGCCGCGCCGTCGTTGCCATACACATTGATGAAAACGAAATTCCACCACATGTAATGTAATGTAATGTGTGCGTATGCGAGTGAGACACAATCCAATTGCTTCTAGCACACTTACAAATGCTACCGTTTCTCTCATGGTTGTCGTCCCTTTCATACATTGACGATATTCAAACATCCAACTGTTATGGTTGCTGCACTGCTACCGTACGGCTATTTTGGTTTTGGTTTTGCTTTCGATTCAAAGCAATCGCGTTCGCTCGTCGCTATGCGTACGTATGGTTTTTGCGTTTGTTGTTCTGTTTCCGTCGCAATTGATACATTTGTCCCGTTCACTTTCTCACATTCTATAGCGTTCACACAGACCTCTCCACATGCGATGCTCTCTTTCCCCTCTCTGTGTAAACACATTTTCAAACAGCTAAACAGCTCTTATCAGTGGCACACACTCATAAAACTCACGCTGTGACCACATTTACATCCATTGGCGCACGCACACATATACACACGTACACACGGGCTCGCATCGTTGTACTACGATCCACGCTCGTACACAACAGATTCCAATACATTCGCATCAGCTCATTCAATATCAATTCGGTGAATTTATGGTCATGATGAAATCAAACTAATAAATTCACACAAATGAATAGCGAACAACTTTTCAGAGGAAAAAACCGCATGGTCTTCCACTCGGAAATCCCATATATAGTACACCATCATCTTGTATTCATTGTACAGTCGTACATATTTCTGCCGAACAATTTGATTAATTGCAATTCGACGAACGGCTCGACATCTCCATGAAATAAACCACAATTCGCATGAAATTTCTTGGCACAAACTATTTTTGCACCTTATGACGCAATGTTACCGAAGTTGATTGAAATACATTTTATTGGTTGTAATCAATTTTGGTGATGCATTTTTTGATTTGTTTCAACGAAATGTGAATGTCATAAATTGTGTATTCGGTTTGGAATATTAAACAATGCCAGCGCATTTGTTTTGTAAACAATGATAATTATTGTTATTTATGTGGAGAAACATGTGATTGCAAACTTGAAATTGGATTCGTTCAATGATTGCTAGTTCAAAATGAACTAGATCCACTTTATGTTTTCCGTTAATATGGTTTGAATAACGGCTCTTGTTGAACATTGTTCAACTTCTTTGCTTGATACAGAATGTTTTGCTATTTTTTCTTTATTTCATCCTAAATCTCAAATTCAATCAAACAATATTCAAACTCACACAATGAGCACATGTTTCATGTCATTCTTTAAACGCATTTTATATCAAATGTCTTTCATCATGACAGTTGGTTCTGAATTTTCAGATGTCAAATCAAAATAACCTCCAAAAAAAGTTTCAAATATATTTTATTTAGTTTTCATAAAAGTGAGAGAAACATTTGGAAAAACTAGGAAAAATGTCGTATATTACGACAAAATTGAGCGGTATCATTCGGTCCAGATTATGGCTTGGACGTGTTATTGCCAAGAAAAGTTTGACAACATGTTCAAGAATAGTTGCTGTTGAATCAAAGACAAAAATTACAGCGGGAGGTTTTCGAATCAATAGCCAACATTTTCATCAAATTCAGAATTATTCCACAGAACCGGTAAAGTTATATAGTGAAAGTCGAGTCCCAAAGATATTGTCAAAATTGGCATCGAACCGAGTATCATTACATTTTGATTTTTTCACAACAATTCGACCAAGTCTGTTCAAAAATTATAACATAACCGTCGACATTGGGTTCAACATTCTGAAATCGTGCAGTCAATTGATCGATCGGAGTACCGGCGAACGCATCAAATTGGTCAATGAATGTTGGAATGAGCTAGTACCAATGCTCAAAACACCAACAAAAGATCACTTGATACTGTTGTTGCAGGCATATCGACGAGCTGGCCTGAAGTCACTAGACAATTACCAATCATTTTTTGAAAAGTACAATTGCCCGATGGATGCAGAAATTTTTGCAGAATTAATGTACATCACGTGTCAAAATGAAGAAACAATGGAGAAAGCTGAAGCATTATTGAAGGACATTGAAACACAAAACATAGAACTAAACGATAGATTTTATAGCGCACTCATTTTAGGGTATTCCAAACAAGGATTGAATGCTGTTGAAAAGGTGCTAGAAGCCATGAAATCAAATGGAATTGCACCATCTTCGTGTACAAATACGGAGCTCATCAAAGCATACATTCTCAATGAAAATTACGATAGAGCGATGGAAGTTCTTCAGCAATCTGACGACTATGACACTGATCAACTAATCGATATAGTCCGCAGCGCTGCAAACAAAGGCAATGAAGTCATTATTAAGAAAGCATTGAGTCTGTTGACGGACACAATTCGAAATGCTAAATTGATTGCACCAAATCTGCAGAATATTTGTATCGAATTGATTTACACAAATCGTAATCGTTCCACTAAATTGGACCCGTATCAACTGATTATTCAGCATTTGCCGATGCCAGTCTTTGGAATGGAAGATACTACCGAATATGGTACATTTTTAATCAAAGAAATGATTGTAACGAATGAGAGCGTTTCGAATATTCTGCAATTTTGTGAGAATTTGATTGAAAGTAAACGGAATATGTATGCAATTCACGCATGTTGTATGTACTCATTGGTTTTCAATTTGCCCGCATCTCGTGACTTTTTGGAAGCATTAGCTGCAAGAGAACAACTCCGACCCCACTACTATTGGCCATTGATTGCTCGTGCTAGAAATCAAAACGATGTGATTGATATTATCAAATTTGCGACTAAATCCAACACAATTCTTGATACAACAACACTATTGGACTGGGTTTTGCCACGAATGAACACATTAATTGATTCACAAGAAACGCTTAGAGCTCTAACGGATGCTGGAGTTCGGATGCTTGAGTTGAAAACAGCTATCATTACATTTTTATTAAACAACAATCGACCAAAAGAGGCTTTGGATATAGCAAGTCGCTCCACTTCCCCGATTGATCCATCCATCGTTAAACCAGCGTTGAGTAAATTCGTGAGAGGTCATGCGTATAAACGGAATGCATACACTACGGCCACTTTGATGAAGAAACTCCAAAATCGATGCATCGATAAACTTTACGATCTAGCTGGACAAGTTGCTCAATCGGTTTGCAACAAATTCGATCAATCCAACGATTTTGCTTCAACAAAACAACTTTTAATCGACTATCAACGGCTTGAAGTGAAAATTTCTCAAAGTTCGGCCAATGCAATTCTGAATAAATTGACGAAAAATCGAAATATTCATACCGACCTTGGCCCAATTGTACAGAGTTTAGTTTCCAACGAACTATTTCCAGATGTGCAGACCGACCAAAAGGCAGCCGCTAAAAATGAATCCGAGATCGAATCTTTGCAACAGCAACTGATTGAGTTTAAAGCAAACGGCTTTCCAACGCATGGTATGAACATCTTATTGATAATTAACATCTATGCCAGATATTTATTAAATCGATTTTCCTTGTAGGAATTCTGTATCGTCTCTTTCTCAAATATGTTCAATACGAGAAATATGATGAGGCGATAAAAATCAAAGAGGAATGTGATAAAATGGGAGTCCTTGAAACACCGGCCGTACTGTCAACCGCGTTGAAACTGTGGACTGCAATCAAACACGAAGATAAAGCACTCAAAACGTTAGAAGAGTTACAAACCAAACATTCTAATTTCAAAATTGACACATTCAAGATAGTTGACTTGGCCACGCTGTTGGTTTCAAAGAATCGATTAGACGATGCAAAGACACTCATCAACAAGTTGGATCAATACAAAGGTCGAAAAACGTCATACATGAGCAACAATGTATGGCACTTACTGAATGCAGCCAGTGAGTATAGTGTAAAGCATGGCAAAGAAGAGAGTATGACTGGATACTTTCTAAAGACTCTGATTAACAAAGGGCATTGTGAGCATTCGAACACACTTTTGGGCACGGTAATCAAAGAATATCTCGATAAAAAGAGAATCCATGAAGCAGTTGCAACATATGAACATTACGTAAAGGAATACCAAAAAACACCACAATGCGTCAGTTTATTGACTCTTCTAATCGAATTATCGAATGCTGAAAATATCTCTGAGTTCAATGTTTCACGAGAGGAAGCGATTGAATACATTCAACGTGTTATTGATTTGACGAAGGAAATACATGGAACAGAAAATGCAAACGTTAATGTCATTCTGGCATTTGCTTGCACTGGCAATGAGCAACAGCTACGAAAAATTTTATTGAATCCCGTTGTAAAGTTTAATTCTGAAATATTGTTGAGTAGTTTGAATTACTTGAAAAATCGATCAAAGATCAATGCAGTTGTTATTATCGCTCGTTGTGCACGAGGACTGCACCACACATCTATAAGCGAAGAAAAACTCTATGAGTTTCTATTGGGCGATTTCGTACGTACTAATGATTATGCATCGGCAACTGAATTATATGAGGAAATACAGCAGGATGATTATAAGATTGTTTCAAAGAAGTTTAATCGAACACTTGCCGATCTGTTGGCGAAAAATAACCAACCTTTACCTGAAAAACTGAAATTTTTATCCAATTAATTGTTGAAGATAGTTTCAAATCTAATAAATAATATGCTTATTCAAATCTAATTGTTACTCAATGAATATATATATATCTATTTCAGATGCAGAAAATCAGCCGAAATTTTTTGACAAAAACATTTCTATGATATTCTCTTTATTTTCTATTTAAACATTGACAAATGCAAAATGTCATATTTATGAAAAAAGCAGCTGAGTATGTGATGGTGTTCGTTTTCGTTCTTTTATTGTTTTCATCATTATCATTATTCGAGTATAACATGCAAACTGAAATGTCATTGTAACTTATGCAAACTTGAACATGCAATTTGTTTATTTTTCACAAAAAAACACACTTTTTAAACAAAAAACAATCGCGTTGTTCCTCTTTTTAACATTAAATAAAATGCAGAAATTTTGTTTGTTTTGTGAAAATACTTGTTCAGTGACGGCATTCAATGATATAAAACCAATGTCGTGAAATACTGGCAAAGGAATGTGTGAAAACAAAATCTTACACTTTTTTACGAACAAATTATTTTAGCATAAATGAAATTATTTTATGGTTAGAATGCAACAATCGATGAAATAAATCTTATCGCCGACCTACATCGGTCGAGCCGCGTAAAAGCTGAACAAGTCGGACATCTTTTTCTGTCAATGTGACGCGAGAACGATGCAAGCAGCACAAATAGCAGTCTTCGAATAGTTGCACCAAATAACTTTCGGCCGCTTCCTGTAAACATTCCAATGTACTTGATTGCATACGAAAATCGTTTTTGTAATCCTGCAGAACTTCACGCACCAAACTGAAAAATGCACAAAAGACAAAAATAATCATCAATATTTCGATTGGATTATAGTTTTTATGCAACATTTTGGAATTCAATCATATTAGCCAGTCTTAGTTGTTAACCGGTACATACAACCGAGTCGTTTTACTTCCACATGGGCAGCGTATATTCGTAAAAAATCTTACCGTTGGAATGGTAGTCTTGGAATCAGCAACTTTGTGCTGGCTTGTAGTCTCATCATTTCCTTTGTGACACGATCTTTGCGCTTCGGTTTGGTTTGCTTCCTCGGCCGACGTTGATTTGTGCTCGGTCGATGAACTGGAGGTCTGTTCGATTGTTCATTGGCGCTTCCGTTGGCGCTTCCGTTGGCGCTTCCATTGGTTTCATCAACATTTGACTCGCTCGGATCATGCGATGGTGGTCTTCCAAGAAAATCTAGGGAATCGTCAGAAGAATGCGAACTGTTTGCACGGTTCGCATCGTTGTCGGATTGATTGTCAGCGTTGTCAGATTCGTGATTGGACTCGTTGTTGGACTCATTGTCGGAGTTGTCGGATCCATTGTCAGAGTTTCGGGTTGAACGATTCTTTTGTTGTCTTGCTGCTTTTCCTTTTGCCTGTGTTTTCGATGGTGTTTGCCGAGTATTTCTGTGTGGAGTTCGGCTACCTACGGCTACTGCTGGTCTATTAGGGGTGCTAACGCTTTTTTTACTACTCACTTTGGCACACATACTTTTCTTTTTATTTTTCCTCTTCCATCAATAATCCAAATTTAATGAGATCTCCGTCTCAAACGTCTTCTAGCTACGTTTGCAAGATTCGATTTCAAATTCGCTTATTTCCTTCGAAATTGGTACTGTTTTCAATTTTTTTTCTTTGTGAATCACAATAAAAAAACTGTTTGCAACAAACTGTGGGGACGACGCTATAGCGTTATAACGAAAAGTCAGTTTAAATTTCTTTTCTATGGTTATGTCAGTGATATTTCCCTCCCAATCTTCAGTAAAACTTGACAATGAGTGTGTACCGCATGCCATCTAACGACCAAACCGCGTATTAATGACCTGTTACAGCGCCAGGATCAAAAGCAATATCATTTTGAATGAAACTCAATAGAAACATAGAAGCCAATGTATAAACAAAATATTTTTTTTAATTTCTCGACCTTTTTCTCTAAGTTTACATGGAATTTTTTAATTTAAAGTGAGGGCCAGCCAAAAAGTCACCAAAGTTTCATGCATTCGAATGCATTTTTGGTGATCACAAAGTAACGCAAAATATATAAATGAATAATCTTTTTTATGTACGTGTCTTCTTAACTCTATTCAACTGAATTGTTCCAAAATGGGTTTCATTCGGTTTGGTTCATTCATTCTTTTGCATGAAATTCAAATAGTAATTCATAACCATGAATTTCATTCGTGCTTCAACCAATGTTTGTGGAGAATCTGGAACAGAATTGATGTCTTCGAAATATTGAATAAGAATCTGCTCGGTTGCAGCCTGTAGACATTCCAAAGTAGTGGACTGCATTCGAAAATCATCTTTTTGTTGTTGTTGCATAATTTCACGTACCAAACTGCAATGAGACAATAGAACGATATAACTTAGTTCATATATGTACATGTTTATAATAGAAAAAAAAAATCATTTCCTCGTACTTTTGGAATGTCGACCGTGGAATGACCAGTTCGGATGTGTTTTCTAATTCGGATGTGTCTTTCGCAACATGGCCTGTGTCCATGTCTGAGTGCCCAAGCCCATCGATTTTGGTCAGTTTTTGCAATCGTTCGCGATTAATGCCCGGTCGCTTTGATTTTTCGGTGCTGTCGTCAGTTTCATCGCCGTCAGTGTCCTCATTTGAGTCACTTGGATCCACTGATGGTGGTCGCCCAAGGTAATCAATGTCACAATCGTCATCTGAATCGACAACATTGTTAGATAGAGTGCCAGCCTCCGATTCAACATTTCTATACGAACGATTACATTTTGTTACTTTTCTATCTTAACCTCAAAATGTTTTTTTTTCTCGTTACTTACTGTTGCTGTTGTATTTGGGGAATGGACAATTTCTGGGTGTTTTGTAAACTCGCCGATTCCTTTGCGACGCAATTTATTAACTTCTTTGTAACAGATTGGTTTCTAGTTTGACGTCGGTGTATAATGCTCTGATGGATTGAAATTTTGCCAGTTTTTCGCGATTCGGATTGTTGTGAGCTATCAGGGATTTTATTACTGTAGGCCGCTGCAATTCGGGACGAAGTTCTTTTTACTGGCTGCATTTTGACGATAGACCGAACCTTGGCGCACATTGCTTACAAGTCACAAAAATGTGTTAAAACGTCTCGCAGAATAATTTAAACGAATATGAGTTTGCATAAAGTTACGAAATTCAAAGATAGGTTAGCTATCTTCGGTACAGTGCGACAAAATATGCGAACTTAGAACATCTACAAGCAAATGACGAATGGCAAATGCGTGGTGACAATAATGCGACGATATACCGTTCATCCTTTAACGAAGGTTATGTTCACACTGACATTCAATTTCAAACACGGCTTGTATGTATCGATTGCACGAAGAAAACAAAACTACTTAACACAAACTTAACAATCTGTTTGAAACGATGGCCAACAATAACATCACAACATTTATTAATCGAGCTGAAATCTCATTTTATTACATCTATCCGTTAAAATGCGGTAATATATTGTATCTAAAAAACTTCAACGTTCATACCGGTATTATTATGCCAATTGGTCGCAAAATATCTGGTCGCAAATCCATTTTTACCATAAAAATACAAAAAGATTTGGTGTTGGTATTATTTTCGATTATAAACCTTTATTGTTATACTGTCAAGTTTAAAAACACAAAACTTGTGTAATTTCAAAGGAATAGCAAACGAAACACGCAATAGAAAATATTGATTTTTTATGTGATTAATGAATTAAGTCTTATCGCCGACCTACATCGGTCGAGACGCGTAGAAGCTGAACAAGTCGGACATCTTTTTCTGTCAATGTGACGCGAGAACGATGCAAGCAGCACAAATAGCAGTCTTGGAATAGTTGCACCAAATAACTTTCGGCCGCTTCCTGTAGACATTCCAATGTACTTGATTGCATACGAAAATCATGTCTGTATTTCATCAAAACTTCACGTACCAATCTGAAAAATAATCCAGAGAAAAGACATTTTATCCATATTTCGTTTGGTTACATGTATTTGTCTAAAATCTCACCGTTGGAATGGTAACTTCGGAATCAGCAAATTTGTGGTGTGTTGTAGTCTTATCATTTCCCTTGCAACACGATCTTTGCGCTTCGATTTGGTTTGCTTCCTCGACCGACGTTGACCAGCATTCGTCCCTTCGAACGAAACTATGTTCGATTGCTCTGTGTCTTCGTTGGCTTCATCTTTGCTGGCCACATTTGATATGCTTGACTCCTGCGATAGTATTTTCATGAGAATGTCGCTCTCAAGAAAATCAATGTCACATTTATCATCTGAGTAGACCACATCTTTGGATTTCGTGATTTCTTCCGATTCGACCATCCTATTTGAACAATTGAATTTTATTGGAGCTCCATATCGAACTCAGAATAATTTTTTTTTATTACTTACTGTTGGAATGGTATTTGGGGAATTGACACGTTTGCTGTGCTTTGTAAATTCACCAATTCCTCAGCAACATCCGTGTTCAGCTGAATCAAAGAATCCGATTGCTTCCGGATTCTGCTTCGGTTGTTGAGCCGCTTTTGAAATGAAATTTTACCAGTTTTTCGTGGTTTCGAATCTGGTTTTTCTTGAATCTGGTTTACTAACTGCGATGTTTCGAAAACCATGGCGCACGTTGCTTTCACAATTCACAATAAAATAAAACAAAACGCTGAGCCGAAGTCTGTAATCGAATGTGGGTTTGTATACAGTCACGGAATAAATCTCTCGTGACAGCTGTCGTGCGGCAAACGAAAGAATGTGAGCCGATAGAGCTGCGAATGGACGATGTTATGAAAGTGTCGTGCAAACTCTAACGGAGGTTATGTTCACATCAATGTGTCCAAAACGTATCGACTCAATATCGCATAAGGCAGACGTGCGTCGCAAGACAACGGCTATTCAAATATTGTATACTGCGACATTGTAAGCAGAAAATTATCACATGATTTTCATGCGATATCTGCCTTATGCGATACAGAATCGTTTTGGACACATTGGTTCACATTGACACTTAATTTCAAATATTTTGTATCCCTCGCATGAGAAAAAAGAAAATACTCAAGCAAACAAATGGAAAATGCGTGTAATAATTGTTTTTTTTTTATTGAATTTAGTTGAAATTTATATCGGTTACAATGGATTATGCCAAAGAAGAAAACCATAAATTACATTATTTTAAATCGAAATCGTTCCAATTGCAAATTATGTCTAGACCAAAACGAAATGACACGTTGCATCTGAATTTGCATCCAAAAGACAGAGGTTCCCTCTGTTGATTCCCTTTACGCCTATTTAACAATCTGTCTGAAGCCAATTGAAGGCCAATAACAATATCACAACATTCATTAGTTGAGCTCCAATCTCAACCAATCCCTTCATTCTATTTGCATTACGTCTGCTCGTTAAAATACCAAAATATTGTATAAAAAATATTGTTTTAAAAAAAAATGACAAGCTGTAAAACACACTAGATTCACTCCGTTATGCATATTTATATAAACTAGATTATTTGCGAGCGATTGCATCACAAATAATATGCTAACGAAATATCAATCGGTTGTTGCAAAATAATTTGATACATTCCCTATCGTGCCATGGGGCTATTCTTAATCTGTATACACGAATCACTTGATTATACCATCGGTTTTTATGTGGGTGGGTGAATCGGATCAGAACGTTGGCATGCGTTTATGATATTGGAGATTTCTTGTTGCAGGTGTCGCACACGCGAACATCTGTGACCCATCCACGTTCTGGGACGGGCATTCGATTTTGCGAACAAAAATCACACACAGCTTGACCACACGATCTACAATGGTGTCTTCGACGATCGCAAAGGTTCGATGATGATCCAAGCATTTCATTGGAATCAACTAATTCCGGTTGTGCAGAGTTTGAGGCTTGCTTTCGGGCAAACGATGTAAGCTCTTCAGCGGTTCCAAATGGCTTTGTACAAACGCAACAAAAGTTGGCTTCACGATCGTGATCTGGAACCCAGTACGATGGCCGAGCAGAATCCTTTATCAAATCTGTAAAAGCAAACAATTCGATTCGATCAAATTTAAAACATTGAAGCCCAAGTTCGAGTCATGACATTACCTTTTGGATATTCAAGCACCGATGCAACCGACGTCAGTGTATTGTAGACAACCTCACCATATTTACGAACACGAATATCCTGATCATCAGTCATGGCATTAACCCCATGATTATAAGCTCCTGCAGGTGAATTTATTACAGTTGTTTGAGTAACATCTTTTTAATGGTTGACATCACAATTGGATAAATGGATGGATAATGGTTTCGGAACAAAAATGATAATAAATATCGATCAATTGAAGTCAAACCTAACGTCAAAAAAATGGCATTATGCTTACCAGGCCGTGCATCACGTTTTTTCGATAAAATGTCTTTACACGAATTGCATACGCGAACGGGAGAGGTCCAACCGCGTGCCGGTACAGGAATCTGGTTCATTGAGCATGGATTACAGAAACCTTCACCACAGGCTCGACAGTGATGTTTGTGAAGACCCGTTTGGTCAAAGTTAATTTTACAGCCGTGACAATACTGTGATGGAAGAAAATGGTGGGTTAATTGTTATTGTTCTGTTGTAATGGGTGTTAGTATCGAGCTTGGTTACTCACAATAATTTCTGCATTCGGTTTCCAGTAGCTGGGAGCTGCCCAATCTGCGACCCAATCGGTAAGTGCTTTCGATGGTTGTGCACCAATATTGTAAACGGTTTCACTCAAATAGCTTACTCCATCGATGACCATTTGTGCTGAATGTGTCGGGCCATCACCAGTGAACTTTGTATCTTTCCATACGTGCACAATCTCACTACTGAATTTGGAACATAAAAACATAGAAGTAGTCAAATATTTTCAATTGGAATTTGGATTGATTCAATGAATTAAATTATTGGAGATCCAACAAAAGATATCACATCATAATTTTCAAACCAAAAAATATTTTATTCAATAAAAGAAAAAAAGAGATCCGTCTGCGAAAACATTATATGTTAAATATCATTATTATTATTTTAAAATTGCTTCGTATGACAAATAGTTATGCAGTTTTGATTTTTTTGCTTGAGCGTCGCGTTGGCTTTGATTCGACTACAAATTCATCGTTTTTTGTTCGGCGCTTCGATGCTGCGACCCTTGGCGTAGACTTTTTCGCTTTTGTTGCTTTTTTTGCGTTTTCAGCCTGACTGTCGATTTTGTTATTACCGCTAGAGCGGGTATCCAAGATGTCTGTCAGCACCACTTCAAATGCATAAGCCACAGGTACTTTATCCTTTTCGACATTCGGTGCTGCTTTCCGTTTCTTCTGCTGTGGCTTTTGTTTGATTGTCGGCAGAATGATTTCCTTTGTATGGATTTGTTCCAATTGCTCGTCGACCGTTAGATATCGTTCTGCCTTCGCCTTGATTTGCTTCGGACGACTTGGCAATAGAATTTTGGTGTTCGTTTCCCTATCGGCGCATTTGTTAAGCATTGTGTTCAGTAACAATGGGTGATTTTTCATTTTTGTAGCCACTTGTAGCAATGACTCGGTTCCCATTTGGTTCAAATGCAACGGCAAAAAGAAAAGTTTTTGTTTCATCGAAGGTGCATTGCTATTGACAACATTTTGATCGTTTTGGTCTGATTGCGAATCGTTCACCAAAGCAGAGTAATCCATGGTTTTGTCAACTTCCTTTAGATCCATTAAACCAAAGCTTTCATCCAAATTAGAGTACATTTGGGGCACATCTAGTGTTTTGAGTTCTTGATAGACAAAGCCATTGTCACAAATCACGTTGCTAGGGTCACCGATATCATTCAGCGTCGAATCGTCCAGAACATTCGGTGGAGCTTCCACAATGACATTTGCTTGATCGGGTAATTCATCCAAAAACGTAGTCCAATCGAAGTTCACATTTTGCTCAGCAACCATTCCCTCCTGTTGAATTGGATAGCTGTCAGCTTCATGATTCACTTGATTTGAATCGCTGTTAAACGGCACCAATTGACTTTTCGATAAATTTTCCAATGAAGTCACATCGATGGTCGACGTCGAATCGTTGCACAAATACTCGAAAAATGATGATGAACTCGTGCGACTATCATCATATGGTGCATCGGTTTCGAATAGTCCCACTGATTCAACCGGATTTGCTAATATGTCATCAATCACACAATTTTCGCCATCAGTAAAATCATGTTGAAAATCAAATTCAAAATTCAAACTGAAGTCGCTCAGCTGAAAGTTTTCCATTTCTTTTCGGTGTAAATTATCAAACGGATCGAATTAAAAATAAATATTTTCACGTTTACTCTCGTCGACTGTTCAATGGAAATTCAAAATATGACGTTTTAAACAACAAAACCGCACACTTTGATTGTGAACAAAAATACGCACTGTGTGTCATTCAATATGTTCACACCGTACCAACACACGCATGTTACTGCACGTCAAAGAGAGAACGTTTTGCTAACGGAACCGGTCGGTTTTGTATGTGATATCGTTTGTCGCCGTTTGACACTTACCGAACAGCGTTGTCTTCGGGATTCTTATTTCCGTACCAGTACTGTCGCGAGCGATATAGTTCACCACAATTTGGGCATTCAATCACCGAGCCGCTCCAAGCATACTTTGCCAATCCAAACCATGATGTATCGTTTGTTGTTTGTGTTGTTATTTTTACAATCGTCTGAAATGAGCGAGAGAAAAAGAAAAAAACATAACGACTTTCCAATATCTTGTCAATTTGAGCAGAGTAATGCAACAGTTTTCAGTGAGAGATAAATCGAACAAATTACCTGACGTCCGTTTAAATGGCAGTGTTTACATAAATACACATTATTTTCATACTGTTTTTGATATCGACAGCATTTTGAGTTCGAATGTGATCGGCCTTCAAGTACATGCCCCATTGACAATTCACAGCGTGCATCACATGATTCGCAATGTACGCCACACGTGAAATATTGCTCTGGGAATGGGTTGAATGATTTCTCCACAATTTTACCCGAAAATTTCAAATTTAAACCCTAAAATCGAAAAATTGAGTCGTGAATTTGAATAGATGCGATTACAAATAAATGAATCTGAATGAGATCGTTAATTACATCGATTGCTTTGAAAATGACGTCAGGCTGACGTGGCGATCGAACAGCTGTATTTTCTATCTCTAATTGAAGTGCATTTTTGATAGCACTATAATCAGTTGGCGGTTGCTGTGTTTGTATTCCAATATAACGCAACGATGAGAAAGCCTCTAAATCAATATTCATCTCGGCAAATCGTTCGCGTAAAATATCCTCAGGACTTTTGTCGACCGCTAGTAAAAGAAATTGAAAATATAAAATAATTGTGACGTAAAAATCAGTAAAATGAATGCAGTGAAACTCACTTGATTTGATCGTTTGTGTATTAAGAGTTTCATGGAAAACAAAAACAGCTGGCCCTAAACTGGTTGGTGGGCCGGGCAGGCCAAGCGATTGTAATGCACCGGAGAAATGCTTGTAAAACGCTTTCGAAGCAGTCCCGAGAAATGTGAACAAATCACGATGCAATCGCTCGGATCGTGTTCGATAAATTGCTATATCACTTATGGCCAATACTTTTAGAAGAAGACGCATTCGTTGGTCACCGTTTGTCGTTGCACCGAGTAAACCCTCTGTATCGAGACAGAGGATGCCAAGCGTGGGCTGGTATGCGGCCCAAACGCCCAACGTACATGATACTTGTGATGGTGATGTTCGGAAGATTTCTTCACCGTCGAAAAATATATGATTCATGGTGTGCGATTTCCCGTCACCCGTATTGCCAAATATTGAAACCACTTTCATCTTTGAGTCTAGCGTACATCCCAAACGTTTGGCAAATATCTCGGGCGTATTTACGCGCAATTCCTCACAACCGTCAAGTAACAAGAAACTCTTCTCGTAGTGAATGTTTATCGATTTTAGTTCATCCACAGTGTGTTGGAATTGATCCTTTTTTGCCAGAGGCGATAGCATTTTTCGCTCCGGTGATGTACCAATCAAATAGTCATCTTCGTTCGATGAGATTGAGGTAATTTTCATTTTTGTTGCCAAAAACCGTTCGCTCGTCTGATTTTTTATCGTAGCTGAATATTGTGCGCTGCTGTTGCTCGATGACCTGCCGTTGTGATGATGGTTCGGTACAAACATGTCATCTTCACAGTCCGAATTGGAGTTCAAAGCATCTTGTAAGTCAGCCTGCAAATATGAAAATACATAAGAGTAAAACCAGATTTCATTGGATTCTTCTATTTGACAAAGAAAAAAACTAGTATTTTCAAACGATGTTAAATTGATGTTAAGAGCAAAATCATTTTCCGACGCATGCAGCGAGTGCCAAAAGTCAATCGGAAAGTTGCATGTGGTACAGTAAAAGTAAAGATAAGCACGACACAAACCGCGATAACAAGACAAGAGAGAGGGGATTACTTCATTGTGAAACGAAAAATTGATAAACAATTCAATTTGTATTTCAGTCAAGTAGAAAATGTGGGCAAATATTCATTTCGACGGCTAAAATAGCGATAAGTCTATTGAGGTTGATCTGAAGCTAACGGCTCTGTGAGAAAACAGTAAACAGATTAAATGAATGCACATATTGGCCCTTTCGATGATGCGTATACAAATGAATGTGCTCCACTGTAGCTCTCAATCAGATAAGATGTGAACACTCCCCATTCTTCAACAAAACCGCGCTTATCTACACTCAAAACAGAATTTCACAAAAAACACTTGATTTGGTGGCAAAGTGATATGCATTTGCTCTAGCTCTTTCTGTGGGCAATCTGTCTTTTTTCGGTCATGTTTTATTTCTTTGATTCTGTCTTATAGAATGCATTATCTTTTAATGCATTATTATTGAAATTGAGACGCAGTAGTTTTCGGTGTATTTGTAGACAATCGATTTGGTTTCTCTTTAAGACAGCTCGGCATGACTTCGAAAAGTATCGCGATTAACGCAATGTGATAACTGATAAGTATTTAACTCAATTTAACTCTTACCGTTGATATGAGTGATGGTGTTTCGTCGATTGGTTCCATAATCGACGATGGGGGATTCGATTTGGAATTGAAGCTCGTGTCGTTAGTCATGATTCGGTCTTTTTCTATATTTTTTCTCTAGTCTTTTTCGAGATGGTATCCAAAATGATAATTTAATTTTATCCAATTGTTGTTCTGCAGGTCGCATCCACCTAATCCACGTCGAACGGTGTGAAAAAGAAAAAAAGAAAGAGAAAAGCACATATACGATTATAGAGCACCACACTGTACGTAAATTTGTTTGTATCTTGAATGCAAAACAAATCGTGTCGTTGACCATAAAGCCGTGAAGCAATAATAATATTGCGTCGCATGGCTGTTAGTCAGCCAGTTCAATTACTGATTTCTGATTTCAAACACTTTATTTCGCTCCAAAGTCTCATTTCAATTTATCAGAAGGAAAACAGATTCGTCAAACAAACAAATCGCTGAAATACAACGGCTTCAAAGGAACTTTACTTACACACACACACACACAAAATCTCCTACTGCAATCGCAATCGCGCCAGTTCAAATTACGTATTAAATTTGGCGTCGACTTTTTTTCGGTTCCCCAATTCAATGTGGCAAATGTACTATTATCATTGGTTATTCAATAACGTTGTAATAGGCGTCGTAATTTATTGGTCACTTTTCGCAAAGTGATACATTTGGTGTGTGCAGCATTGCATGCGGATTTTTCTTTTTCTTTTGATAACCAGCCTCGCAAAAATTCATTCGCCAAAATTGTCGAGCGTAATTGTGCCCGAGAGAGAGAGAGAGAGACACTCAAGAAAAATGTTCACAGTTAATAACAATACAACAAGCACACTTGGCTGCCATTGATATATTTCGATGGCTCCATAACCAGATCTTCCGACTATACACACTCAACGCAAATGCAGCGTAGTTTTTATCTCCCGATTCGAAAGACGAGAATAAAAAAAATAATAAAAAAACAAAAAAAACGACGGATTTAAGTGCTTGTTACGGAACCAGATGTGCTTCAATGTTTATATGTATGACATTGTACGAGGACCGCGTGTATTTGTGCATGCGAAAATGTTTCTGTCTCTGTCCAATACAGATAAGGTGAAACGGCAAGCGAAAAGTGTTTTGTTATGAAAATTATCTCACTCTTCTTGTCTAATTTTATTCAGAGTGTTGTTTCACGGTCGCGCTGCTCACACACACACATAAACAATATGCCACTCACAAAATATTACTGCGAACGAATAACAACTGTGATAGTCTTAGCTAATGAGAATAAAAACCACAGTCTTGAGTCATATTCAATCCATACACATATCAATATGATGTTTGTTTACGCAGACGACAATCACAAATGGAGACAACAACGAACGGACACACGGAACGAAAAAAAAATGTAGCAACAACAATCTCGTGAGCTAAACAAAGAAACAAGAGCAAGTGAGCAGCCTTTTAGTTTCATTGGTTCACTTGATTTGTGTGTGCGCTTGTTTGTTATTTACACGAGTGTTTTATTTTTTTCAATGTCTATAATTTATTTCTCTCATCCTTGTTTTGCGAGTGCAGTTGCTAGTCTACATATATAATATAAGTTCTTCCGTTTTTTCGTGTGTTCAATGTATCTGTCTGTATACACACAATACATAAAACACATCGACTGCCTTCGATTTGCTTCACGGATTGTGTTCGAGTCACGTTCACTTTTATGCCACTGTTTTTTTTGGTTTTACGCATCGAATGATTTTAATTTCCTATTTGGTGTTGTGTTTTTGTTTTAAATCGCTAAATAAATCCATATTCCACTACGGTTTAAAACACTCCCAATATCACACACCATGACACACACACACACACTTCTTAATGATTTTCTTTGTTTTTATGCCCAAAAATAGCTAAAACGCACTTCTATTGGGGGCCCAGTTGGACTTTTAATCGATTTCGAATCGAATTGCTAACAAAACAAACCACACAATTATGACCTACACATATGCATTTTTTTCACGTTTTTTATTTGAATAAATTTACAGAAATTTCACTCATTCCGAATCGATGAAAAACAAGATTGAATTGCTTTTGTCGTCGTACGTCTACAAATGTCTAATAAAATGACAGCATGCAGGTAAATTGGTCGATCGCAGCTGTGCCTTCGAACCCACCGACATTTATATACTGAAATACGACAAAAACATTGCATTGTATCATACGATAGCAGCTCCACGTGAAAACCATTCAACAGCTACAAACACATGAACACATATACGCTCGCTCTCTCTCTATCTCTCTCTCTCTCTCTCTCTCTCTCTATCTCTCTCTCTCTCTCTCTCTCTCTCTCTCTCTCTCTCTCTGTGCATGCATTGCGGTACTAAATTGACTGTTTAGCTTTTGATAAGAGTAAATGTAACAATGTTCCTTTTTTTCTCGAATGAACGCTTTTATTTGTTACTTTTAAAATATTTCAACCGATATAGAAGATTACCGCTTGCTACAACAAAGCATATTTAAATCAAAAACTTGATATTTAAATCGTGATTTTGTCAAACACACCTATGTTCCACATTTGATCTAGTACATCGATTCGAGTTCCTATATTGTCAACAGCAATGCTGATGTGTTTTATTTGTATAGCAAAAACGTAAACAGTTGCCTTATTCTTCTCTCGGTCTTCGGTCTAATAAGGTGTCACACAAGTCAGTCGGTGTAGCCGTAATTCCATCAAAGTTGGTTCTGGCCTTAAGTTCAAAAAATATCTTAGGTAATTCGTTCAATTTGTTAAGATAGCTCAATTTTCATAAAATCTCCTGGATAACTATTATAGAATAGAATTAAAAATGGTGAACATTGATTGAAATCAGTTCAGAATCACTGTTTACAGTTTGATTGACCAAAGTCAAAGTGCCACATAAGCGATATTCTGTACCTGATCATCAGAACTCATCAGAAGTGGAAAAGTGACTGCTTATTTTATTCATTCAATTAAACTTCCGATCAGAAATTTAACATATGAATGATAGATGACCATTATCAAGGAATAATTGGTGTTATTTTAGTGATCAACTAGTTTTCGAAAAGTCACCTGTTGCAATTACTATGACAACCACACATACTTGAATATTTGAGCCATAATCGACATTCTTTTCATTTTATATTGCCAACAAATATATTTTTCCTTATTTTTTTTCAGTTGCTTCCAAGAGTCATACAAAATGAGACAATTAAAAGGTGGAAAAACAAAAGAGTCGCGCAAAGAAAAGAATGAGCGGAAAGCTTTGAATCGTGAAATCAAAAGTCAATTCACAACAATCGTTTTGCCAACACTAGTTGCTATTGCACTCTTCATTGCGGCATTTGTTTATCTAAAAACGCGTCCATTATAGGCCAATTCAATTGGACAATGGTTCAAATAAAGTGCGAACAATACATTTAAAATCTTATGAATTTTATACGAAAAACGAGAATAAAGACAAATGATAATTTTAGACACATGTATGAAATCAATGTTAGCGTTTTAAAAACGCTGCAATTTTGTTGGGAAAAAATACTTTGTGAACATGATCACTTTTTATTGTTAACGTTGCGAAAATAAATATATTAAACTCAAAATTAAATTGCAATTTTTGTAGTACGAACCCTTCCTTCAAAATCAATTGTCTTCATTGAGGACTCCTCAATTGATGACTCATGATAACAGAATATACTCACCAGAAATCCACTCAATATTTTTAATTGATAGAAAGACCTGAAATAAAACTGGACTCAAATAAAACCTCCTGCTTTTGATGTTCTTTCAAATACGAATTTATTGATTTGATTAAGAATTAACAGAAAAAATAAACATTTATAACGAAACAAAAAAAAAAACAAGACAAAAACAAAAAAAAAGTTCTACACAAAAATGGGAAATGATTTAATATTTATATGAGTTGTATTTGTTTGTTTTTTACATGGACTAAAATTTATCTGAAGAAATTTTTCGATTGAAATGAACGCAAAAGCTTGACACAAATAGACACGTAGTTCGTATTTTGTTTGCAATTCAATTTCAATGCACAGGATGTGAACCCAATCATTGATTTAAAATTAATCATATTTACTCTGATTCAGGGATTGTCGACAATTTCTTCCTCAACCTATTCAGCACGTTGAAAGAAAAATGCGATTTTATATACAGTAATATAAAGTGGTGATAAATTGAATTTCAGTGTAAATTTTCTGCACTGTCCATCGAAAATGGATTTTAAAAATAATTTCTGGCAGTTGATTTCGTCAGGCGAAATCTTTTTAAGCAAAAACAATTCAAATCAAAATTGAGCAAATAACGATATGCATTTTTTAAAAGAAAAAAAAAAAACAGAGAAATTACAGTGATGCAATTGGTTTTGCAGCAAAATCATCAATGGAAAATACAAATTTGATTCATGCCGTGTATTTTGTTTTCTCTTTGGGCTATTATAAGCTAAAAAATAGAGTTAGACAACAGCTTATCAAAAACTATTTAGGCTGATTGATGCGATTGAATAATAATTTAAGTGTGTTGCTTATAATTTGTTACAATTGTTTAAAAAAAAATCTTTTTTTCATATAATTAAATAGTCTATTCATAGAATATTTGATTGATGTTCCTTTGAAATGTAACTGCACTAGTATTTTTATCGAAAGGAAATCGTTTTTTGTCGCTAGAAAAGTTTTAATCATCATATTCCAACTGAACAAGATGATATATATTTAGGTGAGAGAAAAAAGCCAGCCTTTTAATGAATGCATGGCTAATGGAACTATATATGCGATAAAGACAGTATTGCGTGGCGTAAGCCTAAAAGAGTTTAGTGGGTTAGTGTGTAGTTTCGCCATTCCTTAAACTATTCTCGCTTGAAGCTATGGAAGTACTTGATGCCGATGAATTTTTCATTCTATGATTGAAAAAAAATAGAGGGAAAATAAAGCAATCACTCGATTAGTGGTCTGCATAAGCGTTTGTTTGGCTCGCACCAAGAACCTATTTTGTGTTAATTTCAATGCTATTGCGTAAATTACCTTGAGTTAAATCCATCATCGTCAAATCTATCTAAAATACCATTTGTATTACTCTTCAGTTGTATACTGCGGCGCGCCATTATTGCAGATGTTTCATACTGCGAATCTTCGGACGTATCACTTGAGTCACTGTAGTTGATTAATTAAATTTATTGTCAAGTTGAACAATTAGCTCAATTGATAAAAGTCTAAGCAACATTGTTGCAGCAATAATTTTATCTTTAAACAACAACGATAAAAAAAAATCTACCTCTCTGTAGAACCATCGTCATCATCGTCGACATCTTCCATTGCTTGTTGCAGATCGGCGATGCGTTGCAATGCCAAACGTAAATCATTTTTGAGAGATGTTACCTCTGTTTGAGAATTCTCATATCGCACTTCCAAATCTTTACGTTTGGCCATATGATCATTTTCGCGATTTGTAAGCTGATGCGACTCTTCTCGCAGCTCTCTGTGATAACATTCATTCATTTAATATTATGTTGATCGATTTGCAGAAAAAAAATGCTTCTAAATTTAACGTACCTAAGCGACTTTTGGACTTTCTTCAGTGAATCTTGTGCAATTTGTTCTTTGGCTTTTGTTTGAGACGCTTCCTGTTGCGCCTTCTCCAGAGCATCTTTGTATCGGTTGAATTGAACCTCGAGCCGGCCACGTGTTGCTTGCTCCAATTCCAAACGTGATTCGAGCTCTTTCACTTTCATTTCCAACCTGGATATATTCAAAACGTAAACGTCTCTTGTCCACTTCAACAAAATTTGTTATGATAAAAACATACCGTTTGGTTTGAATGTTCGTCGATGTATCGGTGATACTCTCTACGTTCTCCAAGCGAATGTGTAATTCTTCGACTTGTTCCTTTAGTGAATTTCGTTCCGATTCGAGTTCCACGATGCGGATTTCATTTTGTGCTATTGTTGATTGTTCTACATTCAATTGATTCACGACACTTGAATATTTCTTCATCAATTCGGCCATCTCTTCTTCATTCTCCTCGAATTGGATTTGTAGTTCTCCTTTTTCCCGTTGTGCCTGGGACGCTTTGGAATCGGCCTCGTTTCTACCACGGTTCGCCTCATCGAAAAGAAGTTGAAGATCGGCCAATTCAGTTTCGGCGGCATTCTTCATTTTCACAGCAATGGCGCGAGCCGTTTCGGCATCTTCGATTTGATTACGGAGTTGACGAACCAACACCTTTCCCGGTGAATCGGCCTTCATTCGCTCAATTTGAGCTTGAGCATCCTTCAACAAAGCCTTATACTTTCTTAGATCACGTTTTAACTTTTGATTGGCCGCATCTTCTGCAGCTCGATCAACTCGATCTTGCTCTTCGACTGCTTTCAGACGACGCTCTAGCTCGTGTTTTTCACGCAACAAGAGAGTCCTTTCCTCGTGCTCGGTTTCCAATTGGCATTCGAGCGCCTTGATTTTCTTGTACGAAGAACCTCTGACTTCCTCCAACTCATCGTCACGCTGTTGACTCTCACGACGCGCTTCCTTTCGCATCGTTTCCAGTGACATTTCAAGACGTAGCTTAGCCTGTTCCAGCAAACTGATTTGTCCAGCCATTTCATCGAGCTCTTCTTCTTGTTCTTTGCACAATTTCTCTGCTTCAATTTTGGCCTTTTTCAATTGAGCGAATTCTTCTTCGCTGCCACCGCCATGAGTCATCTCTTCCATTTCGCGGCGCAAAGATGTCAAAGTCTCGTCTTTCATGTCCAGCTCAAGTCGTGTGTCCTGCATTTAAATATTTGTATTATAATCAAATCGAAACTTGGAAATATGTTGTTATATGAAAAAAAAGAAGAAGAAGCGGAATGACTAGAAAAACTTACGGCCAATTGCTGTTCCAAATTGAACTTTTCAGCAATCAAAACATCTTTCTCGCGACTCAAACGCTCCTTCGTCTGTTTTTCTTGTCGAACGGCATCCTAAAAATGAATGAATTGGCCAATTATTTAGGGAAAATGTAACTCAAACGATAGATAACAAACCTGCAATGACTGGCTTTCTGCATCGAATTTTCGTTGTTTCTTCTCCAGTACGTTGTTTCGGCCGTTTTGCTCATCTAGCAGCATTCGCAGGTCATTCATTTCGCCGGACAATTTTTGTGACTTACGCTTCCATTGGCCGACAACTTGTCGTTGCTCTTCGACCTCTTCGTATGCGTCAGCCAATTTCTTCTCAAGTTGTTTTTTCAAACCGACCAATTGATCGAGATCGTGTTCATGTTGCGTCTGTAAGCGTCGTTTTGTGAATTCCAACTCTTTGGCCGCTCGCTCGTACTTCATCTTATAGACACTGCTGTTGTGCCCATCATCATTCTCAGCATCTTCGTCTTCGGATATTCTGAAGGGTCAAAATAAGTACATAAAATAAATTAAGTGTTTCGTAATAGCCAGAATTTCTTCGAATTATGAATAATGTCGCCCTATGCATAATATACCGAGCACTCATTGTGCCCTAATCATATGAATGATATATACGAAGCAAATGACATCATCAAATAAAATTTGGCTATTAAAATTAATTTAGTTTGAATTCAGTGAATTGTTTTATCACTCAGTTGAGAGAATGAAAAATGCGCTCCACTTACCCATTCAAATCAGACTTGGCGCAAATGAGTTCCATCTCCAGCTTCTCTGACATATCTTGCAAACTACGAACTTTTTCCTGTTGCTGTTGCAGCTCTTTTTCCAATTTCAATCGTTCCGCTGTTTCGGCCTCAAGGCGTTCCGTGGTGATGTTTGATGTGGAACGTTCTTCAGTCAGATCGGCCGTCATTTCAGACAACTGAAAGAAAAATGATTCAATTTAGCAAATTTGCATGCTTTTAAGAGTGAAACTTTTATTTGATTGTGAATGATCGCAACGAAAAAACAAGGAGAAAAATGAATCTAAACCTATTTACGCATCTTGAATCTCAGGAAATCAATTAGAGTGTTAGAAGTAGAAAAAAAAACACTGTTTGTAATCAATATTTGAACCTGTGTCACTTTTAAAACCATTTCTCAGAATGAGCCTCGTTTTATGAATCTTGTTATTGTCATTTTAGCCGCTAGGTTCAGTAAAAATAGACTCAACGATATGTGTGAATGTGAAACAGACAAACAATACCAATTCTTATTGCATTTCGTCTTTCGTTATTGTTTCTTTTCGTAAAAATTATCTCTCGCTCGCTCTTCATTTGTGTTGACGGATCTTTTTCATTTATTTGAATGGATATCGAAACGCTGGTTAGATCTCCATCTTAGCTTTTAACTGATACACACTCGACACTTTGTGATTGCGGATAATATTTGTCTTTCAATTGTTTGTATGTTATCTTAACATGCGATATTGTGTATACACAAAAGAGGCAGAGATATGGTGGATTTTATGTACTTTGTTCGTGTCGGCAACTTGAGTCGACACAAATAGACCAACGATTCTGAGTTTGGATTGTTAAAATACAAGTTGTGTACTGTACTAGATATTATATCGAATCGAACATAAAATCCAGTAATTAAAACACTGAACTAAATACGAGATTTTCTTCAACTTTTCTTTTCTTCTTTCAAAAAAGGTCAAAATTGCTGGAAACAAAATTCTGTCGAATATAATACCAGAAACTGTCAACTTTTCAGCCGATCACATAAATCTCAACAACACCCATAGTATGGGTCCCATACATACAGAAAGAAAAATTATACAGATATCGAAACACACACTCTCTGTATACCCCTGCCTCCGGCGGCATTACCTGAACAATCAGTTGCTATTTGCGCAAAGTGTCAGTTTTTCCAAACATTCAGACACCTAGATAAATATACATCGTTCTCTATTCTCACGTATGAAAGTAGTAGTTGCTGCGAGTGTGCGTCATTCAACCACCAGCCATCAATTGTGATAATTAAAAGAATTCGACGTTTCGAAGTCGAATTTATCACGTTCGACATTCATTTAGCGCAAATGAAACACAAATTCATCAAACAACAACGAAAAAAACCTATATTAATTGACTAAGTCGTTCGATCGGCAGCTTATATTATTTATATTTGCTTTGAAATCCCGGCATGAGTATTTATCGTGTAGCCTCGAACTGAGTCTTTGCTAAGAATTATTGTATTAACTTCACTTCGACGTAACTATTTTCATGCACAATTCTGAAATTTGATACATTTTCTAAGGTCAACGCAATCGCAACAATCGTGAAAAAACGATTTTTATAGGTTAGAATGTGAAAAAAAATCGGCTGTTTTACACAAAACTATTTCGCCCCTTGTAATTGATGAACAACAAATGTTCAGAAGAAGACACACTTCATTAAAATTGCAATAAATTGACGAAGCGTCAATGACAACATAGACCACAATCGAACGAAATATTGTCACTTTTGTGAATAAATTGTCTGTTGTGTAGGCACAAAACAAGATGTTAACTAATGTAAAACACAAAAATTTAAGAAAAAAAAAACAAGAACAATTTCTTTTTTGTTCTCTCAATATAAGAAGAGGTACCGTAAAATATTTGGCAATACAATTTGTTTGTAGACATGCAAATGACAAAACAAAGTACGTAGACGAGTCGGAGAATATTGAGTAGATTAACAAAAACAAGCGAAACTGACGCACAAGTGCAGCGCGCGCGCTCCTACGTGCTGCATGTATTAAGAGTAACTTAGAACTGTTTTAGAGTGTGTTTGAGTTGCGGAGCACAGGCAAATTGCTTGAGACACAGACGAAACCATACAATCATACTCGTTAGCCGCAAAACAGCAACAACAACAACAGCAACAATAACATCACAAACAGAAGATTATTGAATGAAATTAGCGTTTGATTATTGGCATCAGGCAACAAATGGAAACAAAGAAAAAAATGAAGCGCTGGGCTCAAGTGGAAAACCTTTAAGCAAATTAAAATCAATTGAAACATTTGACTTAATTCAACCATCTGGACGTAAAATTCGTAAAGAAAGTGAATGCATGGCGCAACACGAACCTCTGCCACAGAACGAACAATGACAATCAACGTACAAATTGGTTCAAAGTGGCATTGTAAATGTCTTATTTAATGTAATGCACGGCACCAATTCGACCGAGAGAATAAAAAAAAAGTAATAATATGACCGAATAGCTCACGGATAATTACGTTTGCACATTTTTCATCGCGTCCTACGTTTTGTGTCGTTTTTTTTTCACACTGCATTCCCGAATTGCATGTGCGAAAATGTTGAATTCAGCGGGTGCATGGCAACGTACGTGGATCGGTAAAAACGATAAGAAATTGTGTTTCTCTTTTGTTTTGGATCATTAGTGACCAATTAAAATAAATCACCGTCATCTGAATAGTTGTGAGGCGCCAACGCTGCTGCACACGTAAACTCAAATGAAGCGACCGATTGCAGATTACTTAAATTTAGTGTTTCGGTTTATATTTGTTTTTGTTTTCTCATTAAAAAATGTTTTTTTTCCTTTTACCACCTCTAGCAATCTGTACTGTAAATGAAATGTATCATGCAGCGAATCGATTGTTTAAAAATAAATATCGAGCCAAGCATCGAGTGAATGAAATTTTGAAATGTGTGTAGATGTCAAGTTGCCAAACGTCGATCGCGTTGCTCTTACATCAAACTGATCATTGAGCGTGTAAATGTTTTTTTTTTTTTTGTTTTTTTTTTCAAAAAATTTCTTCAAACAAACTATTGACGAAAGACATGAACAGTGCTAATGGCTTCATTTATTCTCGATTTTTCATGCGAACGCACAATGTTTCCATAAAGAAAATAAACGCGCAACCGAAAATTTGTTGTGTCGTTTTACGGGAAAATGTTTAGATAGAATCGGCAATTTTTAGCAGGTTTTTCAAGATCCAATCTAAAAGAGAGTCGGATGTACCACGGGAATTCAAAAAAGTAGTGCTATAATTTTATTACCTCATCGTCAACGATTGTGTCATTATCGTCGTCGATTGTGACACGGCTGCTGCAAACGCTGAGAACTGACCCACATCGTTCTCGGCAAACGGAATTAGAGCGTTCCGTCGGTGGCAACTTTTGGGCCATTTGGAAGGCTTTCGTCATGATATTATTCGTAACACTTTTGGATCGAGTCAAACGTTTCGACATTTCATCGTTGACACTGCGCTGATCTTCAATAATGCTAAACACATCACAGGAATTTCGTGTAACCGACGCCGATCGACGGCAATGACTGCGCCATTCTTCGTTGATGTGATCGGTGCGCTTCAGAAAATCACTAATTTTTTCACTTAAATATCGTGACGCTGTATCAGCTTCGGATAAATGTGCCGGTGATGACCGGAATTGTTGATGTACCCGTTGATTTTTGCAGCCGAGCACAAATGACAATTTCCCATCGAACACAGTCGTTGCATTGTCGAGCGATTGCAGTTCACTCAAGTCAATAGTTTTGCTTGGGGTATATGCTTGTGGGAAAACTCGTCGCGGTGTAAGAGATCGCAACGAACGACGGGAATTCAGGGAATTGTTACTGCACTGCAACAGTGATGGACTGATCGATCGAAAACTATTGAAACTCTCGATACTGTGAAGCGATGAGTTTCGCGACAATGACAAAAAACTGTTATTATTCAAGTCAATGTTGATTGGTGTACGTGAACGTGGCAATGAAAGTTTCGGTATCACTTTTGCTGCATTTGACAACGTTGATGGTTGCGATAGATCGCTGGACGTCGAATTTAGTGTAATTTTTCGTATGGGTTTCGGCACTTTTGGTGGCAACGGTGGTCGCGGCACAACCAGATTTTCGCCATTTTCACCATTCGATGCGGAAATTGTTTTCGTTGAAATAATTCTTGGTCTGACGTTCGAATTTATCGATTCTTTCACCAAATCACTAACTAGTTGAGACTCTGAATGAGGCATTTTCCCGATACTGTTCACTATCTCACTTGCGAAATTCAACTAACCAAGTTTTCCACATTTAAATGCTGTTACATAAGCTATGAATGCTCTTAAATCGATTTTTCTCAAGTAAAAATCAATCAAAACCACAATCAATCCCTTCCGCTTATTCACCAAAAATATAAAACCGAAAATAATGTCGAAAAATATGGGAAATCTGTCGAGAAACCAGCAACCAATTCACTTAAAAATCACAATGAAATCTTTAATCACATCCGCACACGAGCTTCCATTACAAAATCTATCGTCGGTTTGATTTGTGTCTAACGAAAAATTGAAGTAGATCGATCATTGGAGCGAAATAAATAGAAGAAAAATCGCAAAATGCTTCGCCTCAACGCAATGTGTGCATTGTGAGAGAGCGGAATAAACAGACTGAAAAGCTCGTTAAATCGTTCGCATTAATGAACAGCCGTCGAAAGATTTTCCTATGCCATACGACGCACACTGAAAACTCTCTCTCTCTCTCTCTCTCTCTCTCTCTCTTTCTCTTTCTCTGGTTTTGTTTCTATTTTATTTGTGTCGCCCGATTTTCAACAACTGGCTTTAGTTTGGCCGTCGATGTCGAAAATATAATATGTGAGTGCGCCCAAACGTTGATGATCGTTGCGGATTTTGTATGAAAATCCGTTTTGTTTTGTATGTTTGTTTGTTTTTGTTCGCAAAATTGTAAAAAGAAACAAGAAGATTAAAACGTCGAACGCGATTTTACAACACAGCCGACTATATAATTGGCTACTGGTTAAATTAATATCTTAAATTAGATCAAAACGTTTTTTTTTCTGCCTCTGTTGTAAGCCACTGCCTGCAACGGTTCACATTCGAATTAGATAATAAACACAGCCTAGCGCATTTAAACTCGGCACACAACTTGGATAGGACATAATGAGCGCAACATGCTTTTCTATCACAAATGCGAATAGAGAAAAGAAGAGGGAAAAAAACGTCGTCGACGAAGACGACGACAGCAGCAACAAAATAGAAAAGCACAAATGAAATGCGAAAAAATGAAACGAAACAATTAGCGGCGAGAATGAGCGACGACAAGATATCATTTTTATTTTCTATTGTGAAACGCTTGTGCGAACATAAAATCACGGCATGAGTATTGCATGAGATTCGCATTGGGTCTTCGGAAGATCGTCTTCCTTCTTCGTTCTTGTCGCAAAAAAAAATCTAATTTCATCACAAATCATCTGTACTACGAATGCAACAACAATGGTGTATCGACTATGAAAAAAAAAAAATGAGCGATAGGGAAACTGAGAGAAATAGAGACGAAGAAATAGTGTAAAATCAACTGACTGAGAGCTGTGCCGAGAACAAATGGCTCGTACGTGAAATGCAGGAAATGTAAATTTAAAACCGGCGACAAGATGAGAAGAACAAGCATTTTGCAATGTGATGCTATCATATGCATACAATCAGAGAAGTTGTTTGCTTTTTTTTCCTTTGCTTCTCTTGCGTTCGGTTCGTTTGTTTTGTTTGCGTCTCACGACGGTGTCAGTGCACGTTGTTCTTTGTGGTCAATGTTGTTTGCTTTTTGTTGTCACGGGTTTAGTTGTGCAATGAGCGTATGGCTTATGGCGTATGACCTCTATTAAGATCACTCGTTGTTACAAGCGGTAGCATGCAGTAGCAGCAATTGTGTAATGGGGGGATACTTTTTGTTTTATTTATATTGTTTCAGACACCGGTTTTCAGCGTACAAATTATAATATATGAAGTGTGTGCGGATTTTAAAAATAGTTCAACTTGAATGCCTGCATCGATATATCGTAGCTGGCTGGCTGGCTGGCTGACTGACTGTTCTGTTCAGTCTACTGTGCGATTCGTTCGAGTGGTTGGATAAGATGGGCAGAGCGGCATGTTAACCGCTATTTCGTCGTACATAAATTAAGTGTTGTTATTGATTTCAAGTTTTCTCTTGCGAAAACCTCTTCTTTTTTTTTGCTTCAAAAAACATCATAACCAGAAAGTGGTATGAATTTCTTCATTGCCGAGTTTGTCCCGTTATTTCTCCGATTCGATGTAATTACCCATTCATGATTTCGTTGAGATGCAGATGGATGTCTTACTACTAATACAATAAAAATGGTATAACAGCTACATACCTTCGATTCGAGGCGGCCGTTTTCAGTCTTCAATGCGTTTCGTTCGTTCTCGTATTTCTCCAGTTTGCTGCGCAACGTTTGCAATTCATCGCTGGCCAGCTTCAACTGTTCCTCGGTTCGATGGACATTCAATAAGGGTGTAACACGGACTAATAAACGCCACCAGGGCCAATCGCGTACCGACATAAATGCTCGCACATTTCGCTGAATACACTTTACAGCCAATTCTTGCACCCGACGTTGTGCAATTTTCTTACGCATTAAGTATCCACGACACGCGGCTTGGAATTGTGTTATGCGATCGGAAAGGAGTTCGTCACGTTTTGCCTCCAATTGATTCAAAACACCACATCGAAACAGGACTAAACTGACACCGATGCGATAAGTTGACGGATCCATTTCGTTTGAAGTTAAAATTTCTTCGACGGTTGTGTTTTTCGACGAAGTATCGGTCAACAAACCGAAACGTCTGACGAACTCATTCAGTGGAACTGCTTCGGGGAAACCCAATCGATGGAGCCGGGCGGCTTCAAGAATTTGTGATCCACGCAACTATAAATAGAAACATCAATTTAAATATAGCCTATATATACTATATAGGTATGGGAAATGGGAAATATCCATTCAACTCACTTGACTTCGAAGCAACGGAACATTCACCAAATCGTCATACGGATTGATGATGTTTCCATTTGGCGATGCAACGGTCATTGAACCGGCGTTGTGTTGCAGTAGTAGACAGTGCACAAAATGCTTTTCAGTTCGTCGTAGCGTGTCAATGATACCGTCCACGGTGAATTTTAACTGAAGCATCACGGAATTGCGTTTGACACCGGCCGTTGCGAATGACCGTTTGATGCTTGAAATTCGACGCAACGAATGTGAGTTATCCGCAATGCTATCGGTACTATACATAATGAAACCCGATCCACGTGTTAACGCACCATTGAACAAGCGGCTGATATCATTTTTGCTACTGTCTTGCAATAATGTTGTAGCCAGTTTTGTGGCTGCATGCTCACGACTCTTCTTCAACCACCCGTCAATCGAATACAGAACCGGATTGGTGCCTTGGAAGTGCTGAAGCACGAATTGTCGTCCAACCGGCGAGCGACGTAAAAGATACTGATGTTCACGGTCGCCGTAGTGTGCGAATAGACGTTCCAAAAATGAATCATCGTTCGAACCCGGATACATTGATTCTTCATCTAATAGCCAAAGCAAACCACGCCGATCTTGTTCACGTAAATCACGCTGCGAACCACGAACCACATGATTTTGTGGCGCTTTGTCGATCAACGATACCAGCTGATTCGGATCAATCTCTTGAATTCCTTCCGTATTGATTTCGACCAGCTCTTGCGAGTAGCGGTTCTGTGGCGTCACCAAAGTCGTATGATGGAACAGCGACTGCAAACGCTCCTGCAGATAGTTGAATCGTAGATCATCGATAGTTGCACCATTTTGATACCCACAACTAAAATAACATTTAAACAAAAATCGTATGATTTTATTTCAGTTCTATACTCAAAAGAAAATTGTTTCTCGTTCCAATTGGCATACCTTGCTGGGTTCTGAAAACCAGGCGTATCCACTAGTAAAATGGATGCCACCGAGTGCACGGAGGTAGAAATGGAATTGTTTATCAGTGCAACGGTCGCTGCCATCGCCTCTGAATAAAGTCCAATGACCAGAGCCTCCAAACTGTCCCATGCCGAGTCATAAGCATCTGTCACAGTTGCGTTCAATTGATTCCCACTCGAAGCATTTGAAAATGCAGCATTTGTTAGATTTTCCATTGAGATGCCCAGAATATCAGCCGCCTTCTGAGCAGCCAAAGGATTGGCAAATTGGATGCGCATATTGGTACCACTTCCAACTGAAAATATGTACACAGAAATCGTATGGAATGTTCTTTAATACTATTAGCTGCTGATTTGCATACCTTTCGCAACGCCAGCCACTCCCAAATGCACAATCGAAGCCAATACCATCCAAATCGCCTTCACAGCTGTTGCATCAGTATTCAATGCTTCGAATGCTTGAACCAAGCGAATAAATTCGGCGGTTGCTTTTTGCTTTTCATCTAACTTTTGTGACACAGATACAAATGGATTGCTATTGTCAAAAACAAGTCGATCCAATCCGAGATCTTTTTGTAGTGAACCCTCTGTACCAATGACCAAACGTGATAGAACATGGAACGACTGATCACTGCCCGAATGTCGACCAGCTCGGGCTTTTTCCATGAGCAACATCTGTTAGAACAAACATGATTTCATTTCGCATTTTTTTTTCAAAATTGATTCCACAAAAATCAAAACCATACCTGAATCGAAGCAGATGCAATCATTCCGGTGTGATCAAAATCTAAACTGAAAAGTTGCGTGAATCTGGTGGAATTGTTATTCATGCAGGTTTTCGTATTGCCAAAGGCTTCCATAATCGTATTAATGGCATTCAATTTTTCGACTGTTAGGATTTTATTCGTTGAACCAGCGGCCAGCACCAGGTAGTAGAGAGCATGCTTGAAACTGGTCGTTTTACCCGAACCAGATCGGCCCAAAAAGATAAGACTTTGATCGCGACGCGTTTCCAGCATTGAACGATACGCTATTTGTGAAGTGGAATAAATGTGTGGCGGCATATCCTCGTTCTTGCATCCACGGAACATCGACACAACTTTTTCGGAATAAAGAGACAGTGGAGCCATTGGATTGACTACAATCAAAGATGGTCCGGCTCGGGTATGAATTAAATTGTTTGCATATCGTTGACGCAAGCAATGCAGCACTGACGCCTCGTTCAAATGCTTCAGTTGGCAAATGTCTTCGACTAGATCTGCATGAAAAATATGAAGAAAAAAAATGGGAAAATCTACAAAATTGAAAAGATGAAAGATTATTTACCCAAACTGGATGGGTTAGCCTGCTCCAAATCATCTTCTTCGACAATCATCTGCTCGCCATTGTGCAACAATTGCACACAGATTTTATGCAAGTCACTGATTTTCTTTGCACATTTCACTGCAGCAGCGAATCCACCTCGATGAATCAACCAATATTTATCCTGGCCACTGACATCATCACCGTTGTCATTGTTCTGAAATTTATTGATACAAATTATTAGCAAGCTATTTTCGGTTGGAAAATGTTTGAGTGTGAAACTTACATGATTTTTGAAGCGTTTGCTAGCACTTCGTTTCAGCGTATTGCAATTGGTTGCTTTATCCGTGACATCTGAACCAGTGCCATTGAAATGCATACAACGTCTTGACAGTTCAACCAATTCGGACACGGGTTGTACCTCCACTGTTATCTGCTCTTCGCTGTTCTTTATCATTTCAATGATTGTTTCGCGTGGCAAATTCTCCACCGAAACGCCATTTACTTTGATCAATCGGTCACCAGGCAAAAGACCGGTAGTATTGTTGTTATTCGTGCCGGGTTCAGCGAATATTACCGGTTTAAAGGTGGGTGCCATCAATGACTCATTACGATCTAAGCATATAGCTTTGCGTAAACTGAATCCAAAATCGTTTCTCGGCTTTTGACGCTTAATGACCAGAGAGCGAGGCGGAGGTAATCGAAGTAATTTAATGGGTGGCAGTGGCAAATCGACACCATCAAAAGTTTGTACACGCGACCAGTGATGAAAACTCTGCGATTCACCGACTGGGCTCATTGAAAATGGAGGCGTAACAAATGATGAGTTCGTCGTATCGGTCAAACTTTCTGCGCTTGGCGATGCCGATGTCATTATCACTAGATTCGTTGTTACGTTCTGGAGAAGAAGAAAAAAACAAGTGATGAATATATTCTCATTGATTAATTCAATTAATTATAATTAGCGAACAATTTTAAATAATTTTAATGAGACGCAAATGTTCAACACCTGCTTAGTGTGGAGTCAAAAGTGCAAGTGCGCGCAAGCAATTTCATTTAAACTATAAATTATGTGGGCTCAACGACATTTCGTGTGAACGACTCGAGTTTTGTTGACTATTTCACTTTTATACAGTTTCAGACCGACTATTTTTCTCCTCTCTATTCTTATTTCGTTTTCATTTAACTTATTCACTGGAAATGTCGTAGGCTTTGAACCATATTTTGATCCGTGGGTTGAATTTGATTTTTTATTTTCACGATTTACGACGACTCCGTCAAAAGAACGGAGAAAAAAGCAACAAAAACAATCATAATAATTTCTAAATGGTCTTACCTCGTCCGTATGATGACTATCAATTGGTGCTAGGTTCTCGTAAGTGATTAGTTCATTCTGTAGAGTGTTTTTGATGAGAGTCTCAGTTGTTGTATCAATGGATGTGTTGTGACTGTTGGCCGCTCGATTTTGGGAATCTCTCGATCCGGTGCTGGTGCGTGGCCCTTTCAATATCCCACGTTTTGGTGGCTTTGGCGGTACCGGTGGCAAAATTCGAACCTTTTTTTGGTTTGTTACAGATTTAATGCAATAAAATGAGATAATAGTTTATTGGAAATCGTTTCTTTTTTTTTATGGACAGAAGATGATTTGATTGTGAATAGAGGAATTCCCGTTTTGTTTAGAATAGAGAAAAAAAAAACGATGTAAAAAGACAACAAGTTTATTGAACGGTTCTCTTATTACTGATCAATGGCTTGATTCATCAAGACGGTTGCTGTGAGCAAAACTAATCTAATGCGGCCGCTGTTTGCTCGAAATTGAAGCGAAAACACGAAGAAGGGAAAACAAACAATACGATTATATAAAATTAACCAATGCAGCCAAGTGAAGAAAAATCGGTATTTATTTCAAAACAAAATGCGCTCACGTATAGCCAGCTAGCTATACAGCAAGTAAATCAAACACAGTGAGATCATAAGTAAGTAAAATGAGATGAAAAAAGAACGCATGTAATAATAATAATGCAAAGTTTAATGAGAATTGTCTTCCTTCGCACTCCGAAGGTACAGCGCGAATGCATAATACATTAAGACGTACACGTTTATCTTGGGCGAGTGAGCGAGCCAGCGAACGAACGTGTGTGCGCGCGTCAATATATACTTTCTTGTTGTTTTAAGCTCGTTTGATGTCTCAGCTTCTGGTCTAACGATCCAGATCCATACATTGACTAAAATTGGAATTTATTTAAACTGAATGAACATAGTAGTTACGGAGATATGCCAGTGGCATAGCAAATATTCAGCGAACTGAGATGCATTTGAGTGGAGGAATGGTAATGCATGCGATATATGTGCACATAGACGCAAGAGATATTAAATTGCATCAACTCATGCACACAGTACTTAAGTATACAAAAACTGCACATAAAAATGTGAGTCGAGATAGTTGTTTATCAGGCTATAGAGAAAATCCGAATGCCTACACGAACCATACGCCTTAGTTTAGACTTTATCTGGAGAATTCATCATTTTCATACAGTAAAATCCCTCACATCATCGTATGTTTGCTGTGCTAAGCACAATTTCAATGCAGCTTCAATGAATTATAGCTTTGCATCTGATAGGACAAATTCTATTTACCTTATTCACACCGATGGATTGTAGAGACGTTTCCGAGCTGTCTGAATGGGACACATTGATCGAGACAACATGATCGCTAGCATCACCATTGTTATCGATTGTAGCATTTGCATCAGCTACAACTTCTTCGATGCCTCGATCGCGTTCCACATCTCGATCCAAATCTAAATGAGCGAAAAAATTGGCACTGTAATCAGCTGTTATGCCGCTCGGCAGTTTCTCCTTTTCTTTACGCCGGCCACGAATTTTCAACGATCGTCGCACCTAAACATATCAATTTGGAAATGAAGGAGAAAAGAGAAAAAAAAATTCTTTTAATTCGTTTCTCGTTTCGTTGGCGGCATTTCACGGTGTTTATTGTCGATTCACAATTGGTATTCATGAACATTTTAACGGATGTTTATTGTTATGGGGCTTTCTTTCGTTCATTAGTAATTCTTCGACGATTTTTCGAGCACTTAAAAATTAGCTTGAAGTGAAATCAGCTTTGATTTAGTATTCCGTTGAGAGCACGACGATTGTTCTGAATTTCCTTAGATTTGTTTTGATTCATTCATAAAGTGAGTCGAATCAAAGCCAATACATAGAAAAATACACACTGAAGAATGTTATAGGTGTCATCGTTAATTTGTATGCAAATTGGCTCTTGAAGTAATTGTATTCTTTTATATTTCTTTCGTCTGTTTTTTTGTGTTATGTGTTCAGCTCAGCGTGCTTATGAGTCAGTTTGCAAAAAAAAATGATATATATTTATATTCAAACCCATTGAAAATTGCTTGGTCGACTGAGTTTTCGACCATTTCACAAAATGCTGAGCGATCGTGTCTCGTATTCTACCGTAAATTTTATTTCTTTTTTTTTTTAATTTATTTCAAAAATTCATTTGGTGAAACGCATTTTTTCCCCGTCATTTTATTTCGATGGCATATTAAAATGCTTTTTTTTTTCTTTTCATCATGTACATACCTCATCAAGTCGCAGCAATTCTTCGGAGCTCATGGTGCCCAATATATTTTGTTTGGTTAGATCTTTGCGTTGTTTTTTCTCCTTTTTCCGTCGATCCTTGTCGCGGTCAGTTTTCTCTCGGTCGCGTTCGCCAACGCCCACACCCTTTTTCATGAAATTAAACATTTTGGCCCGGTTTTGTTGTATTGCTGCAGCTGCTGCTGCTATTGCCGAAGTCGTTGTCGCTGTCACTTCGTTAGCACAATATGCGAAATTAAAATGCCTTGTTCAACATGAAATTGCAACAGGCGAGGGTTCTCTCGGACCATGGACAAAGAAAAATTCAATATAGAAACAGACGGATTTCATGCAATTGTTCGTATGTTTTAGTCGTTGTTTTGGATATTTATACTGTGATCACTGACTTGTATACTGTGTATTAGCCTCTGCATTCACTTGAGCATCTTTCACTCAATTTCATTTCCACTTCCCGTGTTCGTATGGCTTATTAATTTTTGTATTGCTGTTTACACATTTTCACTTAATGCACTAACATAATTTTACTTTTTTTTTTCTCTTCTTCTTCTCTCTTTCTTTTATTATCTGATGTTATAAAGCTCTCATTTACTAATTCAACTGAAAGGTCAAGACAAAGCAATACAATTAGTTGATTTGAAAGAAAAAAACCTTCACTATGCTTCACTCGCAATTTCAATTGAAATGTACAAACGAAGCGTAAAATATAGATAGCATTCGCAAAGTGCAAAACGAAACCAAGTGTCGGTCAGCCCACACAATCGGTAGCGAAATCACATCGATTTGCCTATTTGCATCGCAACTCATTATGAACGTTATAAATACCGTAAAATGAGCAGAAAATAAAAATTGAAAACAAAAGTGCTCAACAGTTTTGGATATTCAAATCAAACTTGTTTGTGTTGTTGATTTCAAGCAGCCAGCAGTGGATATGTTTTGATACGCCTACGAATGTTCACAAACTGTACAAAGTTTAATAATAGATATTCGAAAAAAATTTGCTCTGTATTTAATGTTTTCTAATCGCTTCCTTCGATAAAAAAAATCCATCTGAATGACACACTTCAATTCCAAATGCAGAGTGTTTGTCGGTGTGGTGAGTTTATCTTTGGCATGCTAAGTGAACGAATGAGCCGACTTCGTTGAACACACAGATATATCATTACAACCGAGTTGTAATTTCGCGTTTCGTTATCGTGAACGTTGTTAGCAAAGTATTGTTTCTCTGTTATAATGCTTATCAAATCACTGAGTTCGTGTGATGCCTACCAATTCATTTTCATAAATTTGAATGCTCATTTTTTATTCGCTTCTTTCTGTCTGATGTTCACTGACTTCGTAATCTTTGTTTCATCTTTTTTCATTTTTTTTTTTTTCGAAATGACTTCCTATTCTTTTCAACACCGTTGCATCGACATGATGATATGGTTTCCCTTGTTAGTTCATGCTTATAATTAACACATTTCATTTCGATCTGTTTTCAAGCGATTCTTAAATTGGATTTTCACCTATCGCGATCTCTTGCCGCCACCGCCACAATCGTCGTTGAAATGCAACCGTTCGCGCGCATCTCGTTCGGGTTATGTAAATTAAAATTGAACATTTTCTCTATTCATACACCCATAGATCGTTGCTCATTCTCTCGATCGTATTGTTTATGGTTGGTAGCTAGTCATTCGTTCAGTCAGTCAGAGCCAGCCTGTATCTCGCTCACATTTGGACAACACAACAAACAAATAAGCACGGAAGATGCGTGCTACACATACATACACGTATCTGAACTGTGAATTGTGTGATGCCGTTACGCCTAATAAAATTGTTTGGCGTAATTGTAATGTTTACAATGGAAATTAATTCACACTGGTTGGCTGAGCGAGTGAGCGAGCGAAAGAATTGAATGAATTCGCTTATTTGTCAGTCGCTGTTATTATTGTAGTTGTCGCAGTCGTCGTCATCGTTGTTGTTGTTGTTTTCGTATGATGACATTTGAATTCGAGCTACGCAGAGCTACTGCATTGCGTGTTGAAATAAGTCAAAGAGACAGAGCTAAAATAAAGAACTCATTTCAAAATCGATTCATGTGTCCCTTCAATTGTGTCGCTCATTTTTCCATTTCCATTTTCGTGCACTCCAACGAATTGCTCAACTTGAAACCTTTTGAATTCTATTCGGATCAAACGTATATATATAAAAACCAACAACTATTCATCGCACGAACAAACTGCACAGATGGTCTTATGTTTGCTTTGTGCATTGCATTCAGTATTTAGTGAGACACGCGTGTTCCTGTTCTCGCTCTCTCTGTGTCTCTCTTTCTCTCTTCATTCGTTTTTACACTAATGTTACGCTACGATATCTCGTCTACGATACAAATATCTTTCTTGCATTCGATGGTTTTTTTCTTCTGTCGCTCAGCCAAAGGTATATCGACTGCATTGAATCAAGTCCAAATATGAATGTGATTCGATTTTGCCACAGCATACATATATATATATATATTAATATATTCGCAGAAGTCGTGAAAGCGCGCGCGACCGTATGTTATAGATAAATGCGATGTGTTTACCATTGTAACGGTAATACGGATGGTGTTTTTTGTTTTCATTTGTTGTTGTTTTCATTCTTTCATTTTCTCAGATTTCTTCTTGTTTTCGTTCGTTCGTTCGACCCAATGTTTTTTTGTCGCTCAGTCTCGTATGCGATCGTTTTTGTGTGTGTGTACGTGTGTATTTGATACCTTGGAGCCACGCAAACGTAGCACACTCAGATCCCATACACAGATCTCGGTCGCAAGCCGAGGAACGTGCAGACGAGGTTATGCGATTAATATGATGGTTGTTGTCTCTTATTTTTTTACTCTGCCGTCATCGTTCGCATCTCGTTCTTGTGTGGATTTTCTTAAGGTGCTATCGTTTGGTTTATCGGAATCTATTGCTTCGATGTGTATTCGTGTGTGTGTGTGTGTGTGTGTGTGCTTGTTCGTTTGATGGTAGAAAGAGAGAGATAGAGACGTGAACAGGCAAATTATCTACCAAATATGTGGTATTCTAAATGTTGGATGGCATTTGATGCTTTCTAGTTGTGGCCGAATGGTTTGTGTGCGTAAATTCTTTGACACTCTTATTGTCGTTTTGCCAAAGCATTGTCAGCATACAATACACGGCATGTAATAGGTACATACATTCTAAACACATGAACTAAACCGAACCGAATCCATGCCGGATTGCCGAAGGAGATACGATAGAAATTCACACACAATAACCATCACCACCACCACAACAACAACAACCATCTCTTTTGCTCGTTCATTGTTTTTACGGCTTTTTTCTTTTCTTCATTTTCTATTGCTCTAGGGATTTTCGTTGCTGTTGTAGTTATTGTTGATCTTTAGCATTCTACGGCTCTTTGATGTCTTCGTTTAGATTGTGATTCACGCAGAAGACTTTTTCTACTCTCTCTATCCAATTCCCACCAACGACTTGTGACTGGCGGATCTGAGAGCACTTTATTTCATTTTCATTGAATTTCGCAAAGGTGATTGTACACTATTTTCACAATTCAATCCGATTTTTGTAGCGGTTCCATGTCAAATTGCCAAAATATTGCCATAAGTTAACGATGGCCAATTTCTCAGACAATGAGACATTAGCGAAGGAGAAAAAAAGTTACGTCGGAATTACTTCATCCGGAATGAGATGCTTGAGATAATTTCGATTTGAATAGGAAATTCAATAAGAATGCTTAAATCACGCAAAATTACCTCAAAATTACACACATACACACGTATTTACTATTTCCTTGTTTTTTTTTTTTAAATAAAAAAGACAATAGCAACCGAAAGAAATCGTTTTTTTCTTCTCCGTTTCATTAATCATTCCACAACAAGATCGCGTTTGCTTGCTTCTCGAACGCAAATAAAGCGTGAATTGTTTGTTCAAGATTCGGCTGTAGTAAACACAGATAAATTTTTTTCGTAAACTTTAGATTCTTTTTGGTTTTTTTAATTGTAAACACATTTTTATATTCTACTAAAACAGGGCCAATTAATTGTTTGACGCCCTTTTACAAAATGCGACAACAATAATTGTGTGAATGCCAACATTGTCAGCGCCAATTCAATAGAAAAATATTGATTTTACTGCGGCCTTATCCACTTCATAGACAGGCGTTGATTTCATTCACTTCTTGTACTCTATCGACTCTCTCTCTCCTTATGTATACATAATTTTTCGCTGTAATCGCACTTTTTTCCATTTTTTGCACGAATGGCAATTGTGTAAAGTTGATTTTTGGTATCGATAATTGGCCTCTTATCAAAGCAAACACATGTAATGCCATACTAGGCAACATTTTGTTTCTGAATAAACACCATCGAATCAAAAAGAAAAAGGTAATTTCGCTGCGGGGCAATGATATTTTCGTAGCAGTCGACGTCATACAGTTAACCCACTTTGAAAAAGAATTTCACTTACACCATTTAAAATACTATTTAAAATACCTTGCTTAAACACTAAACTCTTAATCGATGCAATAAAAAACACATGTAATAATTTCTTGCGATTGATTTTTTCCTTAAGAATCAAGGTGAAAAACAAAACACTAAAAAAATCTGTCCATTTATTCGTAGACACACCGACAAAATGCAACTTTGTTTCCAGTTGCCTGTATATCAACTACTGCTCGGTCCGCACATACAAACGGAGGAGCGTACGCAGACGAGAGAGAAACAAGTAAATAGAAGAGAAAAAAAAATCGTTCGCACTTTGACAGTTCACGTTGAACGGTTTTGCTTTTGGCTTAGGTACTCCAGCCCACGTACTTAAACCGTTGACAGTGATACTTAATGCCGGCAGTTCGATGAGACCAAGCGTTCATTATGCATTTGAATTGAGTACTGGAATTGGAAAGTGTGAGCAGCAACGTATTTTATCTATCGACATGAATTAGGAAGAGAAATATTACCGATAAAAAGGATACAAAGCGTAGTTCAACTGTATATAAAGGGAACGCTTTTGGCGACAACAGACAATGATTTAAGGATTTCATGTGATTAATAATAGCAGCAATTTTTGGTATTGTTCCAAACTTACCTTAATATTTTAATGCTTCTTACATTTATTTACTTCAAAAAAAAACCGATTTCCATTTAGTATCGTATCACCATTTCTACTTTCGTTCAGAAATAAATAATTTAAATCGTTTGCAAAGCCAATGGGGATTGGTTTAAACGAATAAAAGGACCCGAAACACGTTAAAATGTAAATAATGTGGAATTTATTGTGATTTTCCATTGGTTTATTTTTGTTTTGTTCATTATTTTGCTCTTCAATTTGAAATATTATTGAGCATAGAAGTTATGCAATTGATAAAATTGTGTGCCTGTTTTGGTTTTGGTTTGGTTGCGATTAAATTATACCGAAATGAAAACAAAAAAACACAGTTTTGGATTTGAAACATTTGTTACGAATACTGATGAGTGAAAACATAATAATGCAATATAAGTTATAATTTATTTTCTTCGCTTAAATCATTCTTTCGATGAGCCTTTGAACTCGTTTGATCCATCTAAAACATTTGTTTTATGCAATATCATAATCATAAATTGAATGATTTGAATAGTTTATTATGAATTGTTTTAGTAAATATTATTTGTGTGTTAATATTCATTTTTGATAAATTTGCCTTTTATTTTACATTGGATTTTCTTATATCTTAAGGAATATCAATAAGTTTTTAGCATTTCATTTAAATAGTATCTAAAATTGAATAGAAGTCTCTGTTTATATGTCATAATAGGAGTTCACACAATGAAAACGAAACAATAGACATATAGAAATATTTGATAAAAGGTAGGATTGGTTTTTTGGTTTCAAGTTCATAGATTATTATCGGTTTCCCGATTGGTTTTCAGGATGAAATACACATTTGGAGCCAGAAACGTGATACACATTTGTAATAAAATACCAATAACATTTTTGAGATGGATTAACTGGTTTGTCGCTAGACATCTATAAATGCTTAATTAAGGAAATTTGGGGGTGCATTCTAGAATTACAAAGGTTGCATATGTGTATACGCTGTGAAAGGATAGAGATGATACCATGTGGAAGAACAGTGAAAAACAGTTGAATGGGAAGAATGTATCTCTTGTGATACGTAAATGCGTGGTGCGACATTATTTTGGTCTGGTAAACAGGCAGAGCGGGAGCGTGGCGATAAATTGCCTCAGATTTATTAATTAGTATAGTTTATAGTCTCATGTGAAAATCAAGTTATTCAGCAAAATCGTTGCACAGTATCCCAGATTTCCGATACATTCAAAAGATTACATTAAGTTCATTGTTCTGATAAAGTGAATTCAGCAAAAATAATTAATTTCACTCGTGCATTTGTGTCGACAAACGAGAAAACCAAACTCCGTCTGATTGATTGATCGAACACAATAAATCGACTCAATCCAATTTGGAACGTTTGACCGACTGTGGCTGGAAACAGTAAGCCAATCGTTGCTGACGCGATTACACGGTTGTGTAGTAGTTTGCATGGTCATCGGAAAGTGGATTGAACCTCGATTTGTGAGCCAAATTAAATACCATTCGATCTTGATGTGTTCAAATACAAAGTAGCAAGCAATTCGACCCGATTGATTGATTGGTGGTTCAGTTTGGCTGGTTTCAATCGATAAAATAAACAAAGCGGCTTTGTACTTGGCACACACACACACACATCGAATACTGAGCGAATAATAAGATCAGATTTTAATTTAATACATTAATTAGGTTTGCATTATAAAACACACATATTAAGTGTTTGTTTCTCTTTTTTTGGTATCTAAATTTTTAAAAAACATCGACATGAAACAGAAACATATTCATTTCATTGAAAACCAAAAAACAATTCTGATATATTTCATTTTTTTCACTTTACATTAACATTTATACTGACAGAATTCACTCAATAATGTCAAGTGTTTTTACAAGTATTTTTTGGGGGTTTTGTCATATGATTTTTTTTTATGTTTCCATTTGTCAAGAAGAGCCAAGAATTGTCCATTTTGAGAGATACGGCGTCGATTTTTCATATTCAATTTCATGTGGGTGTCCCGGTAGGAACGGAACAAACAAATTATGATGAAAATTTTCATAAGAAAATAAAATTAATTTTTAAAAAGAATCTTTTTGAACCTTCCAACTCAATTAACGAAATTAAAAAGTTTGAGATGAACTTAGACCTTCTATAAACGGAAAGATGATATCCGGACGAAAATTAGCAGTAATTTTCTGGAAATCATTGCATACCTGCACCTTAATTAATTCATAATGAACATAACATTGTTCCTTTGAACCTAACGAACGCAATTAAGAGCAAAGTTTGGCCGTTTCTTATCTAATTTTTTTTTCTGCTTGTATCCTTATGAAATGATAATAGTGTAAGTTGTTATGTAGTATTTTGGCAGATACTAAAAGTTCGTCTGCATTTTTTTTTCAGTTCATTAAGAGATGTTGTTTTTAAAACTCGGTTAAACAGTGTTTCCATATTTTGAGAATACGTTGAATGTTGATTTTTCTTTTAATTAAATGTAAGATAGGTCTGTGTGTTTGTGATGATTTGGGTTTGAGTTTTGTTTGTATGTGTGTGTAAGTGAGTGTTGAGCGGGGTTCGTGTCGAATGTTATGTGGCGACTATGTAGCAATTTTGTGTTTTTTTTTTTGCTGTGGTTCAGGTTAATGAATTGGTTTGTGGTTCGTGGTGTAGATGCCTGTGTAATGGGCGTATGATTATAGAGATTGTATCGTTGATTTTATCTTTGCCAAGTGCTTAGCCCCACTTCTGAAAGAGTCCCATGCGTTGACAGCGACAATTCGATCCCCATAGATTGCATCGGCACGAGCTGTTGAAGCAACATTCATTGGGTCTGTGATCGCAATTTCCACCTCGGCGCACGCATGCACGCCTAAAAACATAAATTAGTGAAGACCGTCTGATATTAAAGAGAATTTGGGAAAAAAATATGTTCGATTGAAATTCAAATTTTTTCTTCAGGATTGTTTGCTTTGGTTTAAATTTTTTGTTTTGATTGCAGATGTGATTGATAAGTTTTGAATGTTCTCTGGATGTCTGGTGACTAGATTGGCTGATAGACAAACGCTTACGAAACACGAACATACACAGACAGATAGAGATAGACACACAGGTCTACTATACATTGGACGAGGATTGATAGTCTATCTACTACAGTGTTATCCTGCGAGGCGAATTATGGTAGCGAACATTTAACAACACCAAATAGAAATCATTCGTTGTACAAGTAATTCTCTCTCCCTTTCCATTTCTGATTTCAACAGGAATTTGCATCGAAGCACGATAACCACTTCGATTTTTGTCGATGTTTCATTTTAAATGCAAATTTACATTGAGAATCATTGTATCAGCATGAATCGATTGCGAATACATCTTTTGATTTGTACAAAAAAATAAAACAGAGAATAGCGTACAACCTACAACGAGCACATTTTACAACGACAAAGAAGACAATCACATCCGACAATGTATCAAATTGTGTGCAACACACAGCGTCAGCAAACTTCACATACCGTCGTTGATTGAAACGAGTAGGGATAGATTGAGCTGTAAACTGAATGAATGAAATCAAACCGAGTAAAACGAACAATCAACCGAGAATAACATTTAAAATAATTGAATGGAAAGAAAAGAATACAATAAAAAAAAGATGTTCAACGGCAGCATGCATGGCGTGAAAAGCGAATGGAAAAAAAAAACCGAATGTATGAATGTTTTTTCTTGCTTATTTTTTCTTCTCGATCAAATGAAAAGCATTCTAACAGTAGGCCGAATGTTTAATATTTGTCAATTCCAAGTATTTGATTTTTTTTTCTCTTGTGATGCGACAACAAATAAAGAAAGCACATGCGTTCTATGAAGAAAAAAAAATGGCCGTAAGCGACGAACGATTCATTTGGATGTGGAGCAATATATGTATGGAAGAGACGCAAATAAATCTCTTTCGCGCCGCACACCATACCCCCAATGCATTTCAAAATGAATCTTTCGCAAAGCAAAGAACAACAAATACGTTTTAATATACTTACTTTTGAGCTGGTTGTAGCACATCGTCTACGTAGGATGATGGGTAATTTACTTCGTCCTCTGAAATTAGATTCGGGAGAAAAATTACGTAAGTACGTGAGATGGAAAAAAATGTCAATAGGTTCATGTTAATAAATGAAAGTGAGTCGTATTATAAAGAAGGATAAGCTTGCATTCGCAACGGAAAGCAAGTAAAGCCAGTTTGCACTTTAAGCAAGTATGTTGCAAGCTCAGGTTCCCACATGTTGAGTTTGCTTTTATGGTACAATAGAAGTTTGCTATTCATAAAATTTACGGAATTTGGCTCAATGCTTTCTACACACGGTAAGCTGCCAGGAAACACCAGCTTATTATTCGTATGTTTGGAACTTTGAAAATCTGCTTGGATTTGCCAGCAAAGTGGTTCGGTGTCGAGGCGAAAATGTATAGAATGTATAGATGAGCAGTTGAGCAGACGAAGCAAAACTGCTATTAATAAATTCAATTACTGGCGCTTAATTCAATTTTTGACGGTTTTACTGTGAAAAACGGCCGTTAAATATGCAATTCAGAGATGAGTTATGGGTTTGTATACGTTCTGATTGTGTGACGTGACATCGCATGACGTCGCAATCTGTCTCACAGGTGAATATATATAGCTCTCTCCCTCTTCATCTGAGACTGTATTCAGTAGACACGACGAGCGTTGCTCCCTTGATTTCCGTGTGTTTGGCCAACTGACTGTTCAATTTTAGCTAAGGGCAATGAATTTTTTATCATAATTTATTTTAATTGGATAAATGTTTATTAGTGAAAATTTCGTTAAGTTCCAAGTGCCGGTTTGAATTTTTCATTCTCACAGCCACACGTACACACGCACATACCCAACACGGGAACAAGTCTAGTGTGTTTTGGCTTCGTCCCTTGGCACGTAACAGGCAGTTGGAAAATTTGTGCAGCTTCGGTATTTTCCATGCTTACATAAAAATATCTGCAAGGGAGTGGATGTGAGGACAACGCCATTATTAGAACATAGCTACGGTAGCGACGGAGGCAGCAGCAGCAGCGGGCGGTCGTTTTCGAAATGTCATGTTGTGCCAAACTTAATTGCTGGCACTTCTTCGTGGCGACGATAAGAGATTGTAACCACATTTCACAGTCGACAAATTGAAACAAATGGCAACCGAATATGCCATCATTATTCGGCCTGTCACGAGACAACGACACGAACCCAAATAGTAATGTAATGCTGCATTCACAGTTCAAATACCAAAACGAAAACGACGAGATAAAAATAAAAATACGGTGAACAAAAAACCCAAAGGTTATTATTACACGTATCGCGAGCGATGACAGCAAATGAGAACGAAGAAATATGAGAGCGAATGGCTGATGTATATGTTTGTGCCTGTGTCAATATATGCGATTTTTCTCAGTTGAAAGGCGATGAGGTACACAGCCGATGAAATGAAGAAAACCGTCAAACAAAAAAGGCAAAACAATACCAATAAAAAAACATGAACGAGCACTTGAGCGTACTGTACACACGCCGTCGTTCTCCTGCCATTCTTTTAATGTTATTGGCTACGGTTTTTTTTCTTCTTCTGTTGTTATTCTTCGGCGGCAAAGGAATCGTTTAGAGTCAACAAATCGTTTATCGATTGTGTCAAAACAAATGGCTGTAATTGCAATGTTTTTGCATCGTTGACTCTGTGCGTGGTTTGACATGTCTGCCAATTGACAATCCTCTTGCCACGAACTAAAAAGGATGAAACGACCGAAAGAGCACACATTTTCATTTAGATGATATTTTCCCTCGTTGCTTCTTTTCAACTCATTTACTTCTTCAAAATGGCAAATGGCGCTCAACGAACAATCATTAGCCCCAACTCTAACGCAAATAACAACACATGAGTTGACTGCAAATTAAAATTGCTTTTTCGCTTCACTTGAACTTAATAACGATTCAGTACACTCGTATTCTTCTTTTTGTGTACATTTTTTCTCTCTGTTTGTTCATGGTTTTGTTTCGTTTTCGAAGCCACAAATGCTGGTTGTGTTCGATTTTCAATTTATTTTGCTCATTTATTTTGTTAAAATGGCATTTTTGACCTAAAACATATGAGTTTTTCTCAGTCAGATAACGAGCTCACAACAATGTTCATTATAACACAGAAATTGATATTTCTTCGCATTTGCTCGAATCATATGTGGGCCGACTCATTTATTTTTACTTGGTAGATAAAGTGACTGAAATTATTGCTGATGAAATTGTCTCATTCTACGGCGGGATTAAATGGCGCTTTTTAAAATTGGAATTAGGAAACAGAAACATGGAATTTTTTGGTGGGATCAACACGAAAATGGTTATTTTTTTAAAATTGTTTTGGTGCCACTCAAATCCCATTTTTTTTAACAATGCTTCCATTTTGACGGTGCACGTCAAAGGAAGCAAGACAGTGAGCGACGAACAGAAAATTCCCAAATGGCAAGTGAACCTTTTACGAGCTTTTTTATGATTATCTTGCTAAGGATGCTTTTGTAATGTACAGATGAAAAGTCACGGTATGTTGCATTTGAAAGAGCAAGCCATCATCGTATAATCATATTTCACTTAAATTTTATTGAATATTTCCCGTTGCAGAGTGCAAGTCACAACACATTATCTTCAGTTTCCGTTTCTTTTTGCAATGGCAAGACTCAAGCTTTGCAAAGTGCGATTTGGACGCAATCCCATTATGGTAAATAGTTCAAAACTAACGCACACACATACATATAGCAATATATATAGCACACGTTGGGCACTCGGGAAAAATCCTTGTATTGTTGTGTGCAAGTGCAGATTTTCCAAACTGAAAAATAACAATAGTCATTCCATTTGCAATACTTGCATCTGTGAATCGTGGAAAATCGCTTGTCTCCACATAGATTCCGATGTAGAACGAAACAAAACAAACAACAACAACAACCGAACGAGGAAAAAATAAGATTGCAGAAAGACTATACACATTATCGGGTGCGAGTGTCGCATGAGACCGTTTGCATTTCAAAATTCTTGTTGTCGGATTAAATTTTAGCTGCATTTTCAACTGCTATTGTTCGATTTTAAAGAGTTTTTGTTATTGTTTGCACATTATTTACCTTTCGGTGTCTCAAAATTCACTTGCTCATTTTCTTATATTTCGTTTGAATCTCTCCTTTCAGCGAGACATAACATCCATGATGCTTTATGGAATTCGAAGCATTTGGTTTTCATTTTCTACACGCCTTGCTAAGCGTGCCTTTCCTCTCTATTCTCTGCTTTGACATAGCTTTTATAAAGAACAAAACAAAAGCCATCGCAAATCCGTCGGAAGCAATCCTTCGCAGACTTTGTTCCGTTGCACGCGCTCAACTTGAAAGCGTAAAGACAATTTGAACGCTAAATAATGTAAATAATGTGCATTATTCGCAGCTCAAACTGAAAAAGCGGTTTTTGGCGTATGTATTCAAACGAACACACACGAGCGCGCTAGTTGAGATTAAATTAAACCGACATCAAAGTAATGGTTTGTCAACGAAACGAAAAACAACATCCACAAAATGAATTTAATCTCGGGTCATTTAATCCCAGCGTACATTGTATTCGCTTTGCGTTGCTTGTGGCTTTCACCGCATCTACAATAAGTCGGAGTACGCAGCTCTTCTACGCGACGCAGATTTATTTACGCCCGGCTTTGAACGAATGTACAGCACTTAAATAAAAAAAGTTTTCTGTTTCACTTCGTTTGTTTCGATGAGTTGAGTTTCGAGCGGGATGGATTTCATGCGTTGAGTGCCATCTCGAGCAAATGTTTTCACGACGAAAATGCACTTGATGCTTATCGCTCAAATTAATTGTGGTAGCAAAGTTGTTGACTGGCTCCAGATCGTTCCAGACACGGTAATGCTGGTGAAATTGTGATAGGCGATAATTGATGATATCAGAAGATTCAATTTTATTTCAGCGACAACTTTCCAGCAATTATTTATTAAAACTCCGTTAAAATGGGATTCTTTGAGCTGTTATTTCATTTGTTTGACCAACATCTTCCAATCACTTCCCGGGAAAGCAATTTAATTTAAGTTCTTGTGACTTTTGTAAGTGCATGAGTTTGTGTGCAACTTGAGTTGTGTGCGGTAATCCACACTCTTACTCAAAATGTAAATAAGGCTAAACAAATCAGCATTTAAATAATGAGATCGAACTTTAAAAGTCACCAGATAGTTGATAAACTGAGTAAAAATTTCCACAAACTATATGGGACTGTGTTAAGCATGACTCAATTAAATATTCGTTTGGTTCGGTTTTAAAAGTTTCGCAAACCATTTGCAACACTTACGAACCCACATTTTCCAATATAAATGAATTGCTTCCGACGACGAAAATCAGTGCGTTGATTGTGGAATTTATGGCTTGTTCTTTGCTCATTGTTTTGTATATTTTCGCAAAGTTTTTCGGCAATTCGGAGAAGGAAGTAGAAAAAAGAAGCGGTAACTTTTCGGGGTTTTCTTCTTTGGGAAAAGGGACGTTTCTCTCGGGAGCAACGACATGAAAATTTGAGTTATTTCCTCCCATAAATCTCCAGACAGTGATTGCGAAATTGAAGGAATTTGCATAGTTTTAACATTTCGAGACACCGAGAGAAAAAGCATAAAACACTCAGGCATCCATCGACGCTGAGAAGTTTCCATGAAAAAAAAAACTTGGAACGTTGCGTTGCAAAACAACCCACGGCAAAATACTTTTCTCGTCTATAAATCATGAAACTTGAACCACGAATTGTTGCGAATTCTCGTCATTTGCTATCTTCTTCCACTCCATTTTCCACCGGATACCGTTTTTGTGTTTGCAGATGTGTAGAAAAAGCATTGATCGATTGAGCGAATGTATTTTGATATATTTCATCGTTTTCTGTTGAGGACAGATAAAGAAGGAGTCTTAATGCTAAGGAATTGAAAAACTCCATAGCAATGTTTTTCGGTATCATGTACATTGTACAAGGATACGACAGGGATTTCCGAGATACCATTATTTATCAAAGCATCTGCTTATTATTTCA